CAATATAGTTCGCGCATGCGTAAGGCCCGCCGCGTAGCCCGCGTAGTTCGTGCTGTTGCGGCCGAAGACGAGAAGTTCGCGTACGAACGCCGCCTAAGGCAGCTCGAGGAGGAGGAAGAGTGATGAGGAAGGTGAGTCAATCGCGTAGATTGTAGACGTAGACCGCGTAGGGGGGAGGGAACAGCAACGAGAGCTTACTACTCTCCTTCCTTTTCGATTTTAACCGCCTAGATAGGGTATAGGACAGCGTAGACGGTTAAGATTTACGCAGTTATTGTTGCCCTATTCCATAGTGATGAAGTGGTTCCGCGTAGTTTCACGATTGTTGCATGGGCCGCAAGGCCCACATTGTTTTTATTAATGATTTTATTTACAGCATAGTCCGCGTATCTGCAGGAATTTGTCACTCACGTAGACAAGGTTGTTGGATACTCGCGTAGCGAGGTGGTTGATAACTTGCGCAGACGAGATCGTGTCTTCTAGCGTAGCAAACGTACTGCTGCGTAGTGCAGCACCCTTGGGGAGCGGTGGAAAACCGCTAATTCCTTCCGCTCCTCCCGGGTTGAAGTTTTGCCTCCTCCTGCCTAACCCGTGGGCTCTTTCGTGATCGGCGAGGAAGAAAATCTCCCCCTTGCACAAAGTGACCTCGCAGATGTGAGGCAAAACTCACACAGTAGACTAAAAGAACCCGTGGTTGTCTGAAGCTGCCCGTCTCGTCAACCTCACTGTCAAGTCGTCGCCATCAGCCAACCACGCCGCCGCAGTCTACGTCAACCGTGTCGAGCCGCTGTCACGCAGTCGAGGAATTTCGGTTGCCGTCATGTAGCTCCCCTTTCCCTTCGATCTCCGTAGCTCCGCCGTTTCATCAATTGTGTTTTTTGCCGTAGTCTGAGTTATTGTATGCGTAGGGAGAGCGACCGTCAGAGAAATCACCCTCGAACCCAGTTAGGTAGTTAGGCCCCGTCTAACTACCTAACTGGGTTCGAGGGTGATTTCNCCCCCCCCCCCTCGGCTACTTGTTGAAAGGCCACGCCTGGTCGGGCGCGCGGGGGTCCTAGCGCGCACAGCGTATCGGCGCCTGCGCGTCAGCTATACTCGACGCGTACCCTGGCCTAAAGCCATCATCTGCATTCGTCGTCGTAATCGGCCGCCACTGCCCGTCGTTCTACCGTCGTACGTTCGGGGATGGAAGTATGATGCAATCCGATTGGGTGCGAAGTGATCGACTTGGGCATGGAAGCCCAAAAATGTCGAGAGGTCCCGAGCCACGTCACCCCCGTGAGACTTAACGTACTGGGTTCGAGCCTCCTGAAACGTAACTTTACTGATTATCATCGTAGTTTTAATTGCTAACGTATTTAATGTTTCTTTTTATGTATATAGTATGTATATAACATGTATTTCATTTATACCATTTCTTTTCTTTGTCGTATTATCATTCCCTTTTATTGGCGTACCCATGAGGGTTTGCGTATAATAGTGAGTCGGTAGTTTAACATCGTAGACGGTTACACCGTGAAGGTAATATCTGATTTGATTGTTGAAGTTGGGCTGTGCGAAGGTGATCCGTGTTGTAGGACGGGCACGCGTAGGGTGAAAGTTGGAGTGTAGGAACAGCATAGGGGCTGCAAGGGCCAAAGTAACACTCCGAGTGGCAAAAGGGGCGAAAGCGAGCGCACCGTAAGACCCCGATCAGGCAATCACGCCGACGGTGACGTTGCTCCTGAGCGGCGAACCCCAATGCCAACGTATAGCGTGGAGCAAGGCGTCTCCGCCGGCGCGACAAGCGTGACTATAATCCTATTTGCCCGATTGGCTCACTAATACTCTTCAGTGATTTGTCTGGGAAATCCTTTTTTCTTGTAGGTTTGAAGGTTAAATAGTGATTGGAGGAAACTGTAGTAACGGCAAACATTCAACAGAAAATCGATTCAATAGTCAGTCGATAGAAACGTAGAGAATACATAGGAAAGCTTTTCATGTATATAATGAGGAAAGCAGAAAATGTGAACAGCTAGAATTAGTGATCGAAACTAACGCAGCAGAATTTGCACGCTTCGAAAAACATTTCCTACCGAGGAAGCCGGCAGAAGTCTTTGTTGTGAACACATGAAGACGTTTCAAGGACTTCTTGGGCATATTCCTCTGTGCTTGTTCGTCGCTATACCTACCTACGGACACAATGTAGTTATGACTCTTTCGGCTTATACCCTTCTAGCGTGTCGACGGCATGAAATGGGCGAGTTCAACACCATTACAGCTGAACAAATTAAGAGTCTTGCTTGGATATGTGAGCTCAGCATAGGTATTCAACAAATGCAAACACAATGGTCACAAGGAGTAACTTTGCCTGTATCCATTGTGGGGCGAACATGGGCATGTGTAAGCGTGGGCGCATCTCACAGCATTGGCTCACCGTATGAGCTCTATAAAACCTCTGTATGACTCAACCGTTCAGGGCGGAATTGGCAAGCCGAGGCAACGAGGAGACGCCTGGCAACAACGATACCGAGCAGTGTCGACTCCCCTACACCTTCTCATCCGATACCCATCATCTTTCACTCTCTAAGGGCGAAGCCCTCCTTACGTAGAGCTGACTTATATCGTGTTATCGTAGTAGAGTCTTTTGTGTGACAGTTCCTTGCCCATTCTCGTATGTGCGTTTATTGCCTTCAAGATAACAGCGGGCCACCTTACCTCTTTACTCTGTATTGATGCTTTAAAGATGGACTCTATTAAACCGACGTCTCGCCAAAAGGCACAGTTCACGATAATTTCGGGTAGTCCAGATTATTATGAAAAATGGACGACAAGATCGGATATAGTGCAATGAAGGTGGAGAAATCGCATGAATCGGTGTTTCCAAACTGAAAAATGCTTCGAAAAACCGTTAAACGGGGGCTGGACGAGAATGAGTTGAAAAGTGGAGAAGAGTGGGCGTTTGGACGAGCTATACAATGTCTCACTGTTTACGTGTGGGTCCCGGTGCGAATAAAAGACAGTGGTAAGCGAAAATTCATTCACTTGTAAGCATAAATAAACAAAAAAAACCCTAGTAACAGCAAAAGTTGCTCGCCTTTTTCAGCCTATTGGGGTAGGAAATTGAATAAGGGATCGTGGCAGTAAGAAAAATAGCAGAAGAACAAAGAATGAGAGAAAAACATCGCCCCATCACTCGGCGGCAGCTGATTGTGCGTGGGCCCTAGAACGAAAATTTGCAATCTGTATTGTCTCGACACTCTCTGACGTCTGACGTTACACCGACCTAGAGGCAGGAAGGCCATTGACGTCTCCGCCCATTGAATTATTGTGAACCGTGCCTTTAACATGCTATCAGCCGCTCGTTGGGCGCGCTCGCTTACTCATGGGCGAAAGAGGAATACCAAAATTACGCTCAAACGTGCCAAGCGAGTAGCTGCAGTTACTTCCATTACTACCAGCGCGGCTTATGACAGTGGCGTCTACAAGACTGTGATAGTCTACAGTACTCCTGCCCGAATGCAGCTCGACATCGGAGGCGGCGCCAATTTGACTAGACTGAAGGACTGGATCACAGTTTGGATTCAAAATCTTCAGAGCATTGAGAAGAATTTATAGACACTACACGAAGCTCATCACATCATAGCGCTAAAACAACAAAGAACAATCCCTTACAGATCTGAAATACATTCAGCTCATTTCACATCAACAATCGAGTAAATACAGACTCCTCAAAGCAACAGATCTCGAAAAGCACAAACTTTGAGCAATGATAACCTATGTCTATCAGTACCTTGTACTTTTATCGCTGTTTAGTGACAACATTTCTTCAGAACAGAGTAAGACTTTTACGGGATCCCTCTATGTTCAATTGAGGCCATATCTACATGCATGTGTCGGTGTAGTCAGCGTAATCTTGGTTGATCAGCAAATGCAATCGCCGTCAGTGAGTCAAAACTAGTTCACCATCAGTGCGGCAGTCACGGTTATTCGTGAGAGGACCCTTCATATCCCATAAGTGTTTCTAACGCAGTCCTGGTCTTCAAGAAAGTTATCGCCAGCACTGATGTACAATAAATCCATATGGTTTCGTGCTCGCGTTCGCCCAGATTTAAGCACAGCTTGTGCTGTGGTTAGTTTCCACGACAATACAACTAGGCAATGACATATGTTTTGAAAAATTTAAGGCTTATCCCTTATGATGTACAATTCTTTTGTAATCATAAAAAGGTCTGTACGTTTTCGAATCATAGGATGAAACCATATAACGTCTCAGTAGAAGCGCTCAACCACAGGAAAAAAGTGAGATTAGAAAAAGATCGACAAAAATGGTGTTACACAGGAATGGTTTTCTTTTTCCTCGAGAAAAAAACAATCAACAACAAGCCTAGAGTATTAAAGACCTGATGAAGTTTGGTGAGCTTCAGAAAATGGTCAAGGTCGGTCACTTTACTGACCCACAATAGCTACTTATCCAAATGTGTGATCGTGGAAAATTTTGCTGATTAGTTGCCAGCCGAAGTTTTACCCCTACTGTTATCTCCCACAGATAATGGGTAGACAGATCGCATCCGTAAGAGAAAAAATTTGTTTGGAAGAATGGAGTGAAAGCTAGTATAGAAAGCCAGGGATATCTCTACTGACGTCCGCTTTTGGAAGCGCCGTGAACGCCCCTCCTCACTTTGATTACATGCATAAACAATATTGCTCCTGTGAAGAGAATGACACTGGCTAATCCAACTGTACAACTTGCCAAGCAATCACTTGTCATTTATAGCACACTAGGCCTGCTAGTGATGCGTCACTAAGGGAACTTGGGTGTCCCACTCTGCTCTGAGTGAGATGATAAGGTAATTAACTAAAAATTTTAAATCTGAGGTCGCCGTTTGACAAAATACTGCTCAAGGCAGCATCATGCAATTATACATCTACACAAATCTAAAATAAACATAACTACTATAGCTTATGAAAAATAGTAGTTCTTTCTATTCAGCCGTATTATCTGAGCATAACAGTTACATTCAGATACGACACCCATCACTTTGGGTTAGATCCGGCATGAGGCCTTGTTCTTTCAATTTTCTCAGTGCAGGTGTCCAGTAGTCCTCTGGTAGATTTCGTAGTTCCATATATCGTTTCGAATACTGAGGATTGTGCTCCCTGAATGAATCCCAAGTTTAGTAAGGTGCTCTAAGGAGATGAACGATGGCGATGAAGACCTTTGACTGTGAAAGTCGAAAGTTGATTTTCCTAAATCTTACTACGGCGGCTGGCAAAAAAGCTAAGGCAGCTGCTTTTTGGTTCGGATCTTGACGCTTTTAAGGATGGAAGAGTTTCTATCAGCAACAGGAAGACACAGAACAGCAATAGAATGCGATGCTCTTGAAGATGTCACCGCAATCTTTCATGAAACTGATAAAGTTAACGTTCTTGAGAACGAGCACAATTTTAATCAAGTCTAGCGCGAAAAAGGGAGCTTTGTCAGGAAACAAACAAGAGTTTAGTTTCCCTTTTTCCAACAGCGGAAGCTCGAGGGGTAGAATCTTATTGTTAGACAATGCGTTATCAACCACTGAATGCTACCGACTCATAAGTACAGTATAGTTAAGAAAAAAGAATCAGATTTGAAATGATAATCACATTTGCTCCTACACAGCAAAGTAGTAATATGGGTGAAGGGAACCCCCAAAGAGTGAGAAAAGCCACATAGATTAATCAAACCAGCGAGAAAAAGAGAAAAGGTGGGTCTACAGAAGCACGCGCTCGCCATTGATCTCTATTCAATGTTACTCACGATTCCCTGTCGAACATAAATGAAATGACTAACCTTCGCCATATTCGCTCTTTCTTCGTGCACTGCCATACAGCCTCATCCCAATACGAACATTGTCCAAACAATTTACCTGAGAAAAATGTCAATATAAGCAAGTAAGTTGAGCAACGAGGAAGCCACACCTATGGTTTTTTCTTGCTGGCACCTTAGAAGCAAATCAATCAAGAAATTGCATTCTCGGGTGTGAAGATGAGGCGAAAGATCTGGTAGCATGACTGAGCAGTCACGCCCTATTGAACTGTAAAAAGAAACTTATTAAATTAGAAGAAAATTGATCTGAAGAACTATTGTTTGCCGCTTAAAAGAATCACAAGCCGCGCATAGCAATTACCTAAGCATGCTCCAAGCCTGATAGGCTGATTTAGAATCTGAATTATATTCTTTAATACACGTCAAATAACCCTTGGAGCAGTGTTCGCTGCAAGCCTAAAGAAGTCAACCGCCGCCCAATGCTGTTCGCTAGGGTGAACAAGTAGAGCACAATCTCTTCAAAAACGGTTCTGCTACTTAAAACGCATAGGCTGTAAAAAACTGCATCCCAATTCTAACATGAACAACTCTAGGGTCAGTTCATTTTCTTCTACGAAAAGTTTCGAAGCGCAACGTAAATGCACTCGCTCGAAAAATTAGCCCAAATGATCTCAGAACGATGAGATGATTCGTAACCGCGTATTGTTTGCGCTATTTCAAGAGCTTGCAAGATCTCGTCAGTTGCAAGCTCTGCCTTCAATAACCAACAAATGCAAGTGAACGAAGAATATGTACTGTTCGCTAACAGGTGGATTGAAACAACACCAACGAAAATACCTCTTTTTCCAGAAAAATAATTGACACTCACCAAATAATACGGAAAGGTAAAAATAGCAGCGTGTAGAGATAGACAACAGAGAACGTAGATAACGATGAGACTGATTACCAATTACAATTCGAAACAGGAAAGAAAGGGAGATCTAAACTAGACTAACTAGTGTATTGCCGAGCTCGACACCAATAGCGACATCACAGTATTTATTTTTCCTATGCACCATACAATTCCACTAACGCACTCCACTCGGAGGAGTCAATGGAACCGCAAGCGCCTTGATCAAAAATCAGACAAGAACGTATTGAAGAAGTATCTCATATGTCACCAAGTCACAACACAAACTTCGCATCGAGGAAGACTCTTGAGCAACTAACTACACCTTAATGATTCAGTTGGATAGAGCAAAAATCCCGAAACTCAAAACCCGCTGAATCGGTCCAAATAAAAAACTGTAAAGCAATGAACAGCGAAACAACCTCTACCATTAGACAACAGTTGTCGCCAAGCGTACTAAGTGTAAAGACTAGGAAGAAGAATAGAATAAGAACCAAAATCTGAAGCAATAACTATACAAAATTGATTCTGAAAAGAATAGATCTTCAATCAATCTCACTGTCAGTATTCAGTCTCCTCATTTTTCACAGGAATAGTGTGTCAGGATCGACACTGGGATCTCTTGTGTTGCGGAAACGATAAGCCAGCCATACCCCGACCAACTATAACATTTTCGAAGTAGTATCAAATATGTGTACTTGACAGAATTATGGATAAGAGTAGCACCTACTTCTGTGAAACTGAAGAAAAGCCCTAGCAAACCAACTCGGGAGAGATTGTTGCTAGTTACATCGACAATTATGGGAAGGCACGGCTCACAATAGTTGTGGCATTGAAGCTGAAACACTACTGGATTTTCATATAAGACACGAAAACGAACAATGAAGAAGAAGAGCTTCATCCAGTATGAGCCCTACACCAAGCATGATATCCATGAAGTGGGTATAATACCCTGTCTCAATGTGGCACTCAATTGTTAATCACTCGAACTTCTTCATGAACGGACTGAATATCAAATGCTCTTCAAGAGTGATGACTAGTCATATATATTTCCTGACCTTGCTGCATACATAACTTTTTTGGTCCTCCTTTATCAAACCACAACAATTGAAGGCTTTCTGGGCATCCCACTTCACTGCTTCATCAGACTTCTTCCATCCACTCATTACAACCTGGAAAGAACTCCATGAGTCATATCAAAAACAATAGCATTCAAGGTACAAAACGCGCTACCTCTTGTAGACTACTTTCGGAGACGTTTCCAAGACAAACAATTGCAACAATAAACTGAACTGTGAAGACACACGATAGTATGATCATATACTAAATAGTGTTGTATGTTTGAAAAACTAAGAGCATAAATTGTAATAAACATTGAAACACTTCAGCCGCTCCACTTAAAGAGGTATTGGTAACTTAATATTACATAACTTTAGTGCGGATTCTGAACTATTCAAAAAAGACCTACGAGAAAGTTCAGAACAAGAGCCGCACAGAAATTCCACAAAACCAGCTTTACTCACGAAGAACAAAGCTGCTTGATGTTGCTTCTTTGTTCCATAGATTCCAAGTAGAGCCACTGCAATCAGAAACACACCCGCAGCAATGATGCCACCTGAACTACCAAGTTATATCGTCACTGGGCGCATTCATACTAGGTGCCGTTCCCGGGGGACGGACCATTCGTGCGATTCGAGCTGCGCGCGGCGAATTGCGCAGCGAAATTCATAGCCATTTTGACTTCAGCGTTCATTATTTGGGCCCAAATTTGAAGTAGAGTAATTAGTAGTATCAGCTGACCTAATGATCTGTTATACTCCAAATTTGTTCCCCGATAATAGGCGCCAGAGTCGTTCGAATCGTCATGAATTTCGCCGCGCAATTTGCTGTGCGCACCGGGAATCGCACGAGTGGTCCCACACTCGCCGTCCTCGGCACCAGTCTGCGACGTCGTAAATGGGTGCAATCCGCGGCACCTAGTATGAATGCGCTCATTTAGAAAAAAAGAAAACCTAAACTCACCTAGAACTGAAACTGAAGTCACTATCGAAGCAGATTTAGCATAGGCACTGGTAAATATAAGCAATCCACCAATCGCCTGAAAAGCATGTCATATGCTATGCTACATAGCAAAATAAAAGAAGTAGAGTGTTATTTTTGAAGGTCTAACTGCAAGACTTTCACAGAGAAATGACGAGTGCTGAATGATTGATATGCTAGCTGGAACTGTTCTTTGGAATCAGACCCAGTTGTATTTCTTTGGGAGAATTTGCTGTCAGGCCCCAGCTGAACTGGGAAATCTTCTAGACAAAATCTATTGACAGGTCACAAGAAAGAAAACAAATAAGCGAAAATGTCGAAAATTAAAGAAAACCTACCACGTAGAAAAAGTTTAAGGAGAGCAACGCTTTCTGCGTCAGATCGTAACTACAATGTAGTGAAGATAACATGAAGGGACCTATAAAACAGTACATGCGCACTTCTCATTGCGCAGCTGGGCTCAAACGAAGCAACTGGCGAGAGATATGGTAACAGCGGCTAAGACGCTGTATGAAGTGCATAGAACAAACTCTAAATCTTTTATGTAAAACTCTGAACAACCACAGCTATGAACATATTAATTTCGTTCCAAATATCAACGGAATACTAAGCTTTGGTGAAAACGAATGTTACAGAGAGAAGAATTATTGAGACCGGAAATATGGCAATCATAAGCCAGTTCTATTGACTAGGGACTATTTTCCTAATCTAATCGGTGCTATCACAACACCTCAATTGAAGGTTTTCGGCAGCCATCAATCGAGTGATAACCTAGATGTGAACACAAGATAAAACAAACAATGCAACAACTTGTAAACACTGAACAAAGTAGAGCTACCAGAAGAAGGGCTATAACAAACGGAACTGAGAATAATCAAGATGCCTTCGCAGAAGTTTCGTCCTCTTTGTCGATGTCTATATCTTTGCCATCTTCACCAAAGGAGTAATTATCGTAAATCTCATTGAAAAGGGCACCACATGAAACCACAGCCTTGAGCTTCGTAGCTAGCAAATACGAACCAGATAGCTTTCGATGAAGCGAATAGACTTCTTCCGGAGGAGATTTCAATCTAGATCGATCATAGCAACGTGACCATAACTGGTTATAAGCCCTTGAAAGAATGGCAGTGAAACACGCACCTATGTTCCAGCATAACGGGTAGTAGTTTTTGAATCCTTTTAGTGACACTCTGTCGAGAAAAGTCGAATGGTTTGTTACTCGCCAAAGTTTCACCCATTATCAACACAGACTCAGCATGGGCATTCTCCATTATGGAAGTTTCATAGCCAGCCAAGAAACCGATTTCTCTCGATAATCTGAAGGTAAAACGTCAAAGAATTAATCATGCGATCAATATGAAAAGTTAAATTTCATGCGTGTCCTTCTCTTAGAATTACCTCTGCCGTCAAGCCATAATTTCGAATACAGGAGAAAATTATTATTCATCACACAGACCGCATTTACGGAAACGAAATCATTGTCATCACTAATCAACTTAGCCACTCTATTAACAACATTTCTGGCGCAGAAGACAAAAAAAACAAATCAATGCCAAGTACGCTTTGCATAGCAGCATTCTGCAAGATTTTAGTAGTCCGTAGATAAGGTTATTTTAATTATAGCTTGCCATTTCTTGGGTAGCAAGAAACACCAACGGGTCAGAGAAACTCATAAAAGGTGAGCTACCATACAAGAAAAAAAACTTTTTGGCTTCTCTGAACTTACTCGATTATTCTTTTAGTGTCGAGATCTGCTGCAGCCTTGATCAACTTCATGTAGCAATCGACAAATTTCTTACTGTAAGAACGAGTCGCTCCAAAATCGAGAAGAATCATGCGAGGCTTGCCTGAGAATCACGAGACTTTGACTAATCACTTCTGAGGCTGGACAAATCTTTACCTGTCACTGGATGAATTCCCAAGAAGAAATTGGACCAGTTTGGGTCTGTTTGCATGAATCTCCAAGTGAAGATCTGAAGAAAGGCAATGTGTTCAATGGAGAGGTGAAAAAGGCATATGTGCTGGTGGTCGAAAGACAGCCTAAAGCTGAAGAAGTTGTCACACAGGGTTCACGACACCTACAGAATCGTTCCCCCTTCCCCCTTCAAAAAATTGAGTGCAACACTTTAAACAGCTGAGCCACCTAAACCTTGAGCACTGAATAACTATTACGGCATTTCGGCATTTCGTCAATACGTCATTATCACTCGAATTCATTCCTAGAAAGGAATAAATGTGGAACGCTTGTTAAACAGAAGAAATGTACTAGAGAAATCTCAAGAACTGAAAACGAACTAACCTCATAGAGACAAAGTTCAATGAATTTCCCAGCGATATAGTCGCGTACAACTTGTGGTTCGTTTACACATTTGTCAACTGGCTTCCCCACAACGTACTCTGCAGTCAGCACGCGGTCAGTGGTGAGTGAGTCAATCACCTTCACAGAAAAAAGTTTGACCATTTTATTGAGAACCACAAATAAACACTGGAAACAAAACTAACTTCAGGAACGTAAAAGTCGTTTGAATCGGCTAAGAGTTCACGGAACTTCTTCATAGCACGCGCCTCCCTCAGATACCTGCATTCGTCAGCGAGTTCCTTACGCGCTACCTTGAATAAACTCTACTATCTTATAACTGGATGCTCGGAATTTTNTTTTCTCACCTCCACAAAACTTTCTAGAAACAGTCCTTTTGGGAAAAGTCCACCAATCGAGAGTACGGAAAGGAGATTGTCGATATCGGAATCGATTCCTGAAATGTAAGCTGATGAATTTCACGTATGAAGCACACCGTTAATTATTGACCATCTGCAACTCCTGGATACTGAATTTTCACAGCAACTGTACGTCCATCCAATAAAACTGCTTTGTGAACCTGGAATGATTGCTTATAAGCCAATTTAAGAAGTCATGCAGTCGTCACACATATTGTACCTCAACAGCTCGACTGCTACATGCACACGAAATTCTAAAAGGGCGAGTGAGAAAACGCAAAGAAAAGAAAAAGGGTAATACAAGTGCTCAGATCTTTTTGTAGTGACTGGAGCCGAAATTCAGGGATATGAAGAAGCGAGGACGACGAAGTCATATTTATGGGGCTGTAAAAAACTTGCACTACCTGCCCAATAGAAGCTGCAGCGAAAGGACGATCCTCGAAAGAAGCAAACCTCGACTTCCATTCCGGACCAAATGCTGCACTCATTTGCTTTTTCACCTTAACAAAGGATTAGACGATTAGCTTGTGAAAATTGGCGCTGTATTACTATAAAAATATAAGGGACCTGTTTCAAAGGCATGAAATCAGCGCTCTGTCGAACACGCTCGAAAATTTCGAGTAGGCCGGCAGGAACAGTTTCAGGATCTTGTATTGAGAGCATTTGCCCAAGCTTTAGAGCTGCTCCCCTTACCTAAACTTGAATCCATTGAAATTACCAAGAATGACAGGAAATCCAACAATTTGGTATCCATTGATGACCAACGAACGCAGAGCCCAAAATTTGAAATGAAGTCAAAATTCAGAGAATTTATGTATTAAGAGATGCACTACCGTCAATTCAAGTAATAAAGACTTCGAGGCAGCAATACAGAGGAAACTCCCAAAATTCGAAGTGTAAGGACAGAATTGATGGAGTTTTCAGCATAAAAATGATTCAACTGTCAGTCTTTACCACTGACGCGTTCTTAGTACGATGACAAGTTATCAAGGGGACTCTAGTAGAATGAACTACTGAGGGCGACCAGACCATTTTTTGAGGGCGATGAACCTTAAAAAGATGACTAAAAATGTCGAAAAACAAGGGTAAATACCATATTCTTGAAAGCAGTCATCAAATTTTTGGAGCGGATAAATGATCATTTTTATAATAAAAAAACTAACTCGACATAAAGTTTGGACGATCCGATCGGCATTTGCGGGAGAGAAGAACGGGTTCTTCGGTAGTTTTTCGGCAAGCTCTGATGTACCAAGTGAGAGCGCTCGGCGAGTAGCCTCTGCGGCAGCTCCACCAGCAAGCCCAATAGCTAACTGGCCGAACGATGCTAGGCTAAAAGTTAGTTGACAGTTTATGATATAAGCAGAGAAAACTCTAAGGCTTGTGATAACTTATGTTTATGACATTCCCACTCGATAAACGATAAAAAAATTGAGCTTATTTCTCACCGGCCAATTCTGGACGAAGGAACCTTACTCTCCTTGCTTTTCGACAGCCCACTATTCATCATTTCTGTAGCATCAACTGTGTATCCCTCAGGAAGAACCGGACGATATATATTATTCTTCTTTGTTCCTCGGATTTTCTGTTCGGCTTCCATATCGTCCACGGACCGAGCTGCTCTCAACAGAAATTCCTGCTCTTCCCTAGTTAAGCCATTATCTAAAATGCCCTCCGTAGACTCGGTCTCAGAAATTTCCGTTTTCGGGAAGTCTGAATCCTTGAAGTACGGCTCTTCCTCAACTTTCTCGCCCAATCGCTCAAGATTTGGGAGTGGAGAGCTGGGGAGAGAGAAAATTCCTTTGGAAACCAGCTCTGCCACTTTTCCAAGTCCGAAAACGACGTCATTGCTCGGAGACGGATTGGACATATAAACCTTTTCTCCCGAAGGGGAGACGGTGTATCCACCAGAGCCAGGATAAACGCCATTTGCCATGAGATCAGCGAAGGTACGAATTCCAACAGCAACCGTATTGGCTCTCTGCAGGATATCTGTGGCAGTTTCAGGAAGAGTTAGTGAAGGAGAGGACTGCTTCGGATTGAGAGGATCGACAGCCGTTCCTCCACCAACTACTGTACGCCGCACAGTGCGGTAGAACTGCTGTTCCAGTTGTCTGCCTTCATACCCAAGCTGGCTACGGAACAACAATCGAAGACCGTTAAAGATAGGCCCTACTTCGTCCCGACACCATCGCACAGTCGAAGTCGACGCCTTTACAGGCATCTGAAACAAAGCATTTGCAGATCATTTCTACACAGACCTTTCAAAAACTCAACATATAATTCATGACAGAATGTTCTAACGAGTCTTCATGGAGGTATGTAGCAGAAAGATGAAGAAGGAACGGCTCCTCATTTCAAAGTAGAAGACCTTGTCATTTTTGATTGCAACACGAAAACTAGGAATAGAATTTGATGCAAAACTTCTCCTACTATCACAGGCACTGGGAAAATTGCATACTTCAAAATATTTATGATTTTCATGTCTCAACAAAAAACATAAGAACCTCTCGAATAAAAGGATACCGTAGACCTTAGTACAGAAAATTAAGTTAAAATGGACAAACAACTGGACTATTCATCCGATAATTATTTCGATAAAACGTGCGGGAGGTATGTATCTGCATAAATGAGACCTCTGTACATGCATGCTCCACGTAGTGCATGGCAGCTAATACAACAAACCACGGATCGACATTTCTTGTAGTTAAATATTCAAGGATGTCAAGTGAGGGACTGTCAAAAAAGGTAGCTCACGGGAGAAGAGATATGGTTCTAAAACTTGAAAACAAAGTTTCAAAACATATTGACGATAGGAGTGAAAGTACAAGTACTCAATGAGCTCACGCACCAGCATTTACTACTTGAAAACAAGTTTCGTCACTACCGGGTGCAGCCGCGGATAGCAACAGCTGAATCTTTTCACATCGCATCAACAACATTGTGAAATCAGAGGAACCAGCTTAGGGGTTCGCATATCAAAGAGANCCTCTGTACATGCATGCTCCACGTAGTGCATGGCAGCTAATACAATAAACCACGGATCGACATTTCTTGTAGTTAAATACTCAAGTATGCCAAGTGAGGGACTTTCAAAAAGGTAGCTCACGGGAGAATAGATATGGTTCCAAAACTTAAAACCAACAAACGTTTAATGCGAGAACTGGGGAGAGAAATATATAAGTTGTGATAGATTTATGTGAGACCGGGCATAAAACATTGAATACCCTTCCGTTTCAAAACATATTGACTATAGGAGTGAAAGTACAAGTACTCAATGAGTTCACTCACCAGCATTTACTACTTGAAAACAAGTTTCGTCACTACCGGGTGCAGCCGCGGATAGCAACAGCTGAATCTTTTCACATCGCATCAACAACATTGTGAAATCAGAGGAACCAGCTTAGGGGTTCGCATATCAAAGAGACTCGACTAGAGGTGTAAGATCAGTTGACCCCGAAACCGTTATGATCAAAGCTTGGACGAAAACTCCATAGAAAATTAGTTTTGCATCAGTTTCGCTCTAACATAAGACACTCAATAGACAGAGGCTTTAGAAGCAAAGTCTAACCAGCATAGCTACCACACTGTCACATAAGGTCAATTTTAACGACTAAATAATAGCAACACCTTGAAATACCTGTAATCCTTCGAGCGTTCTTGAGTCTGAGGGGACGTGCGGACAGAAAATTAGTCGCGCTCTGTTGACAATTTGAAGCACGAATACAATTCGCATTAGAGCGCCCTTTTTCACTTGTGTTTCGAAGTTGTTTTATTTTACTGCTTCCATTGCATACTTCTATCTCTTTTCTTTTGTAGTAAGGGAGTTGTGCCTCGAGTTGCGGTTTCCATTCTTGTAGGCAACAGGCAGGTATTCTCGCCAGTATTCCCCGTCAATGTTCCGTAAACCAACGAAGAAGCGCACACAAATTCAGGTAAGCCATTCACATGTTGCATTCGTTTGATCATATAGGCGTTCCTTTTCCTTCTCAACCTTTTGGTATATACAGTCTCTTGTTCGCAAGGTCTTGAGACAGAGTCTATAAAGTTCTTCTTCATTATCTCTCCATTTTTATAACAATAGCACCGTCAATATTGTAGTTCAAATTTATAGGCACGGCAACGACAAGGAGAGGAGTTGTCTGGGGATGAAGACGCTGCTGTTATTAAAGATGTAAAAAGACGGAAGCGAACCAATCCATTCGAGCAATCGGTGAGTGGCTCAAATGAACTACGATCTCTCATCTAAACCCTATTTACTTTTTTGATTTTATTATTGAGGTGTTGATCATAACACAACCAAAAATAAATGCTTAATGATTCGTAAAAAGCCTATATGGCCAAAGTAAAAATATGAGGAAGAGGATTAGGGGAGAAAACAGCACTAGAATACTTACAGAAGACTTGCAACGAAATCTTTTTGAGTTCGAACTTAAGAAAAAGTGCGGAGAAGTTTACAAAGAAATGTGTTTGGTTCGAAAAAACGGTAGTGACTACTAACCTGCCAACCCGATTGCCAGAGCAACTTACAAGTTCTGCCCTTATTCGGCGAGCTCATTCCTCAAAACGGCTGGTGAAGTTGGGACGCAAAGTGGAGCGGCCAGTTAAGGTTTCAAAAAGTAGTTGCTCCTCCAGTAGAATGAGACAAAATACCATCTATCTACCCAGTGTTATCACCGAAAGAAGCCATTATGAATTAACTAGGCAATGCCGTGGGATGAAGATATGTGGAGACTGTGATGGTTGAAATATTAGTTATCTTCGATGTGACGCTGAATTTAGTATTTTAGACATTGAAATCCTCAAGAGCTGCCAATGCAGGAGAATCCACATCAAGCGACGATTCAGAGGAGGGCAGTGGAACAGCTGAGGCAGAACATTCCTTCGCTGCTAGTGGAAGCGCAGCTCCTCTAGGCCCAAGCGATCAAGGTTGGTTGTCTTCCGTTCCTCAGTACCATTTAAAAATTAGGTAATCTACTGTGTATAATGCATGGTAGCTTTAGCGGCGTACCACACATTCAAATGGAATTTTACATTCATTGTTTAAGGAGCCACTGCAACGCTTGAAATTGACACTGATTACGCGGCGGATGCACAGGCGCAGTTCGAGAGGGTTCAGCAACAACTTAAGGAAGGTCTTGTTAAGGCGAGTGAAATGTATCTGTGGAATCGTGCTTTTTGACTTAGTATTCTTAGACTTTCCGCCTATGATCCGATATGTTTTCAGGATGGGAAAACGATTTACAAGGGACAAGCGATGTACGGTGCGAAAGAAGCCAAGGACACCGTCATAGGGAATGCTAGCAGTGGATTGAATCGGATTGGTGCGTTTGGTGTAAAACTTATGTATTTTCACAAACTTTATCTAGTACCTTTTTTGTTGCTATGAAATGTGCGGCCCTCATTGTATGCGTTCAGGCCCCATACGTGCACCTCAATTTCTTCGACAAACGGTTCGCTGGGACTATGCACCCGACATTTGTAAGGATTATAAAGAAACTGGCTTCTGTACCTTTGGAGGTGAGTATTACTATAACATTGGCCTCCTTTTGCCATCAATGCCTGTGTGAGTAATTGAAGTACATCCTATGTCATTACAGACTCGTGTAAGTTTCTTCATGACCGCTCCGATTACAAGCACGGATGGGAGATTGAACGCGATTATGCCTCAGGAAAACTGAACAAGGTATCTCTTTGTCCTTTTATACGATGTGGCTAACCTACAAGTAATAAACAAAAACTGGAAAATATGAATGGCCACCAAGGAACCAGATGGAAGACTTCACATTAAAACACACAGTTCACGATAGAAGTGACTTATGAGGTATACCACTAGGACAAATTTGTGACCCTCCTCGTATACCATATGTGATGCTGCCAGGTCGGAAGACGGCCTAGATTAGGGGTTATAAAGGCTCAAGGATAGCCCCATGTATGACGAGTTTCAACGGTCTTGTAGAGGCTGCACCATTCATAACGAAATCCATGTAGGAAGTTCAAACAGCTTGCCATGTCCCAGAGTGACAGTGAAGGGCAATTCTGGACAATCGTGGCTCTATGAAGTCGGCTCTTTGCGTATTTGCAGCTATGAAATCTTGTGCAAATACCTTTTCCATGTCATTTCTATCATGGTGGTCTCGTACAAACACATTTTTACTACTTTCAAAGAGCCTTACTTTAAATCGGTAAACCCGCTTTCTTCACCATTTATGCACTATTATCAACCAATACTTCCGCTTTCCGACCTAAGAAAGGTACCTCAAAATTATCGTGAGTTGTGCTTTTGAGCAGCTTTGAATATTCTCTCTGGATCTTAGCCGTTTAAACAGGAAAACATCAGAAGTAGAAGACAACAGCACAATATTCCTGTTGTTCTGAAGTGTACGACTTTTTAATCACATAGCTTTGATGCTCGTGTCGCCTTTACTTTGTTCTTTTTGACTTCTTTCGATATTCTTTATTACTGGAAAGCCTTTTAACGAGTTTAATGAGTTAGTTTTAATGAGCCTTTCTAATGCAAGTAGCTCTTTGGTGGTCACATTTTATTACTTTTTGGTGACTTTTATCACAGTATCACGGATCAAATGGATATTTTTCAACTGAAACGAAAAAATTCAAAGTGGAAAACTCAGATTAGCTGGTTTGACTCGATGTTTTGTTAACTGCTGTTATAACGCTGCACTGCTTGGTCCGAAAGTCTCACAAAGATAGCTATTTGTGGGCATCGGATGGGACTCGAACCCGTATTTGTGCCTCCGAGCCAAGCTTCAATTAAAGAACATCTTGACGATTCTATGCTTATATCGGCTGACCGGCTCAACACGTTGTACTTGCGAGTGCTGATGGCTGTAGCAGATAAGCCATTAGAAGGCGGGGGCAAGTGAGGACTAGGTAGTGTAAGAGATAAGAGCACGGTGCCCGGATAGCACAAGTGCGGGTTCGAGTCTGTCCGAGACCGAAGTTTGCCCACAAATCGCCATCCTTGTGATACCCAGATTAGCTCTCTACGATACGTTTTATGTTTGTCGCAGCCGGCGGATCAAAAAGATTTTTTCCTGTACAATGTAGCCCGAGTCAATAGTATAATAAACCTGGCAAAGTGAGCAGCAACTATTTATGATGGGTCTTGGTTAAGGTCGATGAAACCAACTACGAAATCAACGAAGATGAAGATGAATTTCCTGAAGATTGTTATATTTGTGGAAAGCCGTTTGTCTCTCCTGTGGTGACGAGGTTTGCTTTTTAGGGCTTCGAACTTGCCTTCTATACAATTTCGTGCGGTACACAAAAGAGATAATTTCAGGTGTAAACATTATTTCTGCGAAACCTGTGCGTTGAATGCATTCAGGAAAAACAAACGTTGTGCAGTTTGTGGTGAAAATACTGGAGGAGTGTTCAACATCGCGAAAGGTTAGTTCATTGCAATTCAGTGGGGCTGAAGGGAACTTTATTTCACAAATGATACACATTTACGAGTTATTATGTTACAGATCTCATTGCAAAACTGTCTGGGAAAGCGAAAGAGAAAAGGAGAAAGGAAGAGTCGGATTCTGACCTTGGTGAAGAAGAAGAAGAGAAACCTTCGTGTAGTCATAAGATAAAGGAAGAAGTGGAAACAGCGGAGGACCATAATTGCGAAGTTAAACAAGAAATTCAAGAAGAAAACGACGCAGGCGAAAACGAGGAAGGCAGTGGTGATGAACATGAAGAGGAAGAACAGAACGATGAGAACGATGTTCAGGAAAGCACAGAAATAAAAATGGAAGAGATTGAACAAGATGATGCAGAGGTAGAGGAAGATGAAGCAGAAGATGAGGAGCAATCTGACAGTAACGACGAGGACCCACGAACATGACACTCCGTACAGTACAAGTGATTTCGAAAAATAATTGTTTTGTTCTCTGTTGTTGCCCTTACCTCATTCATTTCTTCAGCCGATTGAAGCTATGAAAATCTGTTGTTGTTTGGTGAATTATTTAATGTTGATGACTAAGTATTATGCTGATAATAAGTTGTAATCCTGATGTTTTCATGTGGCAGTGCAGTTCTGGATTAGACACAGACTCAATGAAAAATGTGAAGTGCTTTGAGAAAAAAGTACTTCGACAAGCATGTGTAGCAATAAACAGTCAAATTTGTAGTAAAATACTATTCTATCAGTGGGGCATCGCCAGAGAGCTGTATACATTACTTTTGGTTTCCTTGGTTTCCTAATTAATTTTTAATCCCCATTTGGTCCTTTCCCAGAAATTCAAATGTTATACATAGTACGAGTATGGTATTGGTATTGGTGAAAGGCCTCTCATTGTGGAAATGATGTTTCAGTTTTGTTTTGTTATCTTAAGCAATCCCAGTTCCAAGGACAACGTGCGAGCAGCGCTCACCGTTTGCTTTAAGCGAGGTTTATCTGAAGCATGGGAATTGCCTATTTCAAAAATTCGAAGAATCATTTCACAATTTTCTGGTATTTCGACCACTATTACCTATACATACTAACATCAGCAAACCAGTGGACTGCTGTGTGTAGATTGATACGGAGCATCCCTACGACAGACAGGCGATTTGAAATTGGGTGATCGATAAGTCAAGCCACAACTCAGTTTTTTTCTGGCGCTTCAGATGTACCCATCAGTGCATACATTGAAGCTGTGCGAACCTATGTCCTTCTCCTCCCTTTACAATCAGAGACGGTGCACCTAATCCACAAGTCAGGCACCCGAAGTTTGACTTGTTTCCATACCAACAGTAAGAGATTGGCACACCCAGTTGCCCTTCTCCCCTTCCCTAGAATGAGCTTAATATCCCCTTGGTGAAAATGACGGAATTTTAGAATCCAGCCACTGAGGTGTATCTCTCTTTTTAATACAGTGGTCAGTGGAATAATTTTTATCGATTATAATAGCAACACGGTGAGACAATAATGGGAGCACGAGGGCGGTAACACGACCGTCACTTGTAGCCTCCTCTAATCAGACTCGAGCTAATGTCGCGCCTCAGCTCCGACCACCCCACATCTGGGTGGTCAGACTATAACAAAGAGGTATCCTTACTATAGATATCTATAACATAATTTACAAATAATCAGCACAACATATAGTTGAAAATTTTCCTTCTTTATTTCGATGAAGAGCGGTGTAGTTAGGCTGAACGGAGTGGATTGTGGTTGTACGGTCGGCTGAACGCAGTGGAGTGTGGTTGAACGGAGTGATGTGGAATTTACATATTAGCAGCCAGTGCAGAATATAATAGAATATAGTGGAATATGTATAGTGTGAGTGCCTAGAACTTTCTCTTCTTAGGAAGCGTATCAAGCTATAGAATCATGAGTCCTATACCTGATGGTGTAGCTAAAAGGGTGCAGGGGAGAGGACAGGACGAGAGGGCTTGTNACGAAGGGTCGGGGTTAGCCTGGCGGCTAAGGTGACATCCGAGACGACGACCTTCATGCCGTGAGGCGGCTGCTTTTATACCGTGGCTTAGGCATCAGCACGATGTAATCCTGGTGGATGGCATGACAGCTTTCTCGTAGAAGTTGCGGCAGGGCTGACGAAACCCTGGCGGCTGTTCGAGCCTACACATGACTCGACACGGCTGTCTCGAGCGGACGCATGACTCGACAGGAGAAGCAGGTCACAACAGGACGTTGTGAGGCTGGCGGCATACCCCGCATCTGACCTCAAACGCTGTTTTGTGCGCGGGCTTGAGGCATTACCCGCAAAGTCTCATTTTGGAGACTTGGAAAATGCGTGAATTTTGTGGCGGAACTTTAGATTCCGGCCATTAGAAGTGTATCTCCCTTTTTAATACTGCGGTTCAGTGGAGTAATTTTTATTGATGCAATTATAGTAGCAACACGGCGAGATGACAATAGGAGCACGAGGACGACCACAACTCGTAGCCTCCTTTAATGAGACTCGTGCTAAGGCGAGTCGCGCCTCAGCTCCGACCACCCTACATCTGAGTGGTAACTATAATAAAGAGGGCCATAACAAAGAGGTATCTAAGGGAGGACCGCACTCTTTTGAACCACCGACGGCTAGAGCGCAGAGAATGAGAAGTAGCCGAGTCCGTAATGGTGCTTAGGAACGTTTTCACCCAGGCCTGAGATGAGAATGATTTCCGAGAGGGTGGGCCGGATGAATGATCAATTCTTATCACCATCTCACAATTAGGTTTTTACACGAGATAATCATCTCACCCATCCCGCAGCTCCTCCCCTTCTAAAAGTCAGTTGAAAACAATATTCATTCGGCTAAAAACCAGTCTTAAGTACAAGTAAGGTTGCCTAACCCTCCTTCTCTGCGTTCTAGCCTATAAGGATTCAAAAGGGCGCTGCCCCCTACTCCCTCCCCAATTACATTTCCACCATCCCCCTTCCCCCTGACTACTATTCTCATCATTCGACCGAACATTCTAGCACAAACATCGATCGATCCCATCCCTATACAGTTGACATATAACAAGCGAAAAGACCCATAGGCAACCCTTACCACCGCAGAGATACATCCCTCTACCACGTTGTTCAAGTGAATCACATTTTCTTGCGTAAAATCCGCAGATGTAAATGATCATCATCGTAGAAACTGAACAGGAAATGGGAAGCAAAATTGTTTCGCTTTTTCCAAAAATTTTTAAGTACTGGTAATCGTCCCTCAAGTTGTGTAGCTACTCGTGAGCCTGACGAGATATTGCACAAAGCGGGCTCACATGGTGCAGTATCGATTTTTGACGTGTGGTTTTAAGTAGTTGAGTCAATCCCACTGGACCTCGGGTGCTATCCAGCTTCTCCAGTGTACATGTATAGCTCCCTTATTGCAATTAGAAGAGTCCTTAAAAGACGTTTGCCTGTTCAATTTTGCAAATTTATCGGAAAGTTTCCTATATTGTTTTCTGGGTATGCGCATTTAATTAGGTAATAGTTTCTTGCTGTGGGCTGGGGAAAGAAATGCCCATAAAACTAGTGAATCACAAGTATGAGCTCTATTTGGCCATGATTCTTCTCATCCTTTTGTTGCATTTCTTTATTCGCTGGCAACGAAAACCTCCAGTAAAGATATCTGGACAGAAATCTAAGAACTGAAAGTGATACACATTTCAGATGCCCAGGACAGCAGAAGACTCGAACGAATAACATTCCAAGTAGCCACCATGTCTGCTTTACAAACTGTGAATGAACTGCAGGATTCCGTTGGGAGCGGCTCACCAACTGAGGTAACCATCGATCCAATTCCATACCTCTGTTTATAGTTATTCTTCCTTTCCTTCCTTCTTTGAAGGAGGATCTTATTAGAGTTTGCATGAAGTTGTGCATGGTATGACGCATCGTGTATATTGACAGAGTTGATTGCGGACATCCAGAAGTGCCATTTTTATTCTTTTCTATTCTAGAAGTATTTTCTTTTTTTGACTTTCCAGTTGGTCCGCACTAAAATTGGTGGAACCACCACAGCTAGCTAGAAAATGGGGATAAAGCTAGGTACTCCTAAGTCGCTAAATCAGTTGAATTAAAACCAGGAATGCGGTTAAACATCTTATCCACATTCGATATCCAGTCCTTCCTTTACACCTAGCGCAAAAATCGTGAGGCAGCGCTTTCGTGAATTTTAGAACCTTGGACCATTCTTACTCTGGTCGATTGGACATCCCCTCATAATTAAGTAAACGAAAGTAATGGAAATGAGTTGTGGGTTTGTAGAACAGAGTAGTGTCTTCAATTAAACATTTTCCTGAATAATGTACTTTTTGATAGGGCATTTTAGAGCAGAAATCTCTATCTGAAAAAAGAAACGTTGCCAAGAACAATCAAATGTCGGAGAATTTGTCTTGCACAGCGGTATACTTTGAGATGATGTAGACCATGTTGGAGACTGAATAAGCATTGATCTGTCGTTTCCATTTTTCAAAAATCGATCTGAAACACTTTACCCTCATAATCAGGCTGTTCTGATCTGATAAGGCGTATTTGCTCACGGCTTGCTGCTCTACTTGTCATATTTGCTCTAAAGCATTTTCGTCATCTCCTCAAGTTGGCACTGCGAGACTTTGTTTAATCTCAGTATTCGTATATATCTCCTTCATGTATCTTCAAATGCTTTATGTCGCTCTGATCCGCCCGTCTTCGTAGTGTGGTGGAATTGCAGCACATGTCCAAGGCTGCATGATTACCACACTCTTACTTCGTAGAATCTATCATGTAGCAGTATTGTCCCACTTCTATCATATGCATAACTGACATCACAACGTGCCGATGGTGGGAACTCGTGTCGGCATAAACCGGCGTCATTCTTATCTTTTAGCTTTCATGCATTCCTTTATGCCAACAAGATTGATGTTTCGCATACCATTATTCGCAATCTAAGGTTCTCAAAAAACCGACGGAGAGGCAGAAAAGCTAAAGTCTTGAAAATCAATAGTTTTATGTTAGCTGTAACAGCGTAAGTGGGAGATGGGCAAAATAACTTGCTGGAACAGGTACGGGAACAATAATCATCATAATGTGATGCAATATTGCTAGCAATTTCTCTGAATCTAACATGAATTTGTCATATTGACAACGAACATATGTATTCAGGTCGTTTACGGAGGCACGGGCTCACCCACGGGNCATGCATTCCTTTATGCCAACAAGATTGATGTTTCGCATACCATTATTCCCAATCTAAGGTTCTCAAAAAACGGACGGAGAGGCAGAAAAGCTAAAGTCTTGAAAATCAATAGTTTTATGTTAGCTGTAACAGCGTAAGTGGGAGATGGGCAAAATAACTTGCTGGAACAGGTACGGGAACAATAATCATCATAATGTGATGCAATATTGCTAGCAATTTCTCTGAATCTAACATGAATTTGTCATATTGACAACGAACATATGTATTCAGGTCGTTTACGGAGGCACGGGCTCACCCACGGGTGACGAACATCGTAATATGTCAGAAAAAGTTCAAAACATGGCGTCAGCAATTTATCGCGAATTCGAACTTATGATTCAAAAATATGGCGAAGATGGAGTCAAGGCGAGTGACGAATCTCGTTTTCATATCCGAGTTATTTTTAGATAGTGGGGAAAGCGAATGCCTGCATTTTAACCAATATTTTTTTGCAGACCTTGATGCCGTTGGTTGTAAATGTGCTGGAAGCACTAGATCTTGCATTTCTGGAGCGAGAGGAGGCAGCAGTTGATCAAGAAATGTTGAAAGAGGATAACGAGCAGCTCGTCACTCAATACGAGCGAGAAAAACAATTGCGAAAGCAAGCTGAACAGGTGATTTCGATGATCTTCTAAATAACTATAGCATCCAGTTTGTAGAGCAGGTTTTCATGTCAAATGCGAAGCGATTTGCGACCTGGTTTCTTCTGCATACATTTTGGGCTTACCTTTACAGAAATACATGGAGATTGAAGACAACCTCATTGGTCAAAACAAGGAGTTGGAAGCGAAAATTGAATCGCTCGAATCAATCATGAGAATGCTTGAACTGAAAGCAAAGAATGCCTCTGATCATGGTATGTAATCTCATTGGAATTCTCTGCACATCAGATTCTTTGAATTAAGTTTTATGGTATGTTCGGAAATGTTATCCTGGAATCCTCTCTCAATTCACTGTTTCAGCGTCACGACTCGAGGAACGGGAAGCTGATCAGAAAGCCGAGTTTGATCGTTTGCATGAGAGGTTTATTTTTTCATATCTCCTATAATTTTGATGTGATATTTGCATTCTTATAAGTGAGAGCAGTCATATCCTCAAGGGGTAAGCTCGATTAGCTGGTGTGAAAGCAGCCCTTTTGGGAACTTCTTCTAGATTAAGGCAGAAGCACTAGTTTCGATATCACAGCTGTGCCTTTAGTCACCTAAGGTGATGGAGAACGTCGCAGTCACATAAGAAGCAATTCAGTTTTGAAATATCAAGAAACACAGGATTTACTGCTCCCCCAACGCAGCACTTTTGAACGATCTTCTCAGCTTGCAGGCTTCCTGTGAGGATTTCATGGGCACAAAATTAGCAGGGTCACTGTCGGGTCTGTCAGTATCGGAGTGGTTTCAACGTTTGATACTACTTGAACATTGAATCCCAATGAGTGCAGAACATTTTACCAACTGTTTCGTCGATTTTCGTAACTTGAAGAGTAATTTACAGATACAATGCATTGTTACGCACTCATGTCGATCACATGGAGCGGACCAAATATCTTATGGGAAATGATAAATTCGAGCTGATGCAGAACATGCCACTTCCACAAGCGCAACTTCGTACGAGGTCTGCTATATTTCGTTCCTTGCTTTGTCCTTAAAACAGGGTTGTTCTCTCTGTGAAAACCGTTAATGCTCTCTGCAAGTAGTGACCTTCGCATGGACGTAGAGGTGGCGGCTGATAGCTTTTTTGTAAGCTTTACTTCAGAAAAGATTTAAATAAAACAACAAGTAGAAATACGCTTTCTAGCTACTACTTGCCCTGCGGCATTCAATACCAGTGAGTTTATATGGCAATCGGTTACTCCATGCTCTACGGACTTGCTCCTGTGCTACACCTATAATTATTAATGTTTGATCTTTTGACTTGTAGAGGAGCTCTCTGTAAACAGCATGCATTACAATTCCAAACNCAAACCTCCTTTGTTCATTTGGGCTTCTTCACAACTTCTTTGCCTTGTCTTCCTCACTGATTAATGCATTCTTACCTTAACGATTTCTCACAGCTTTGCAAAAGCTTTTCAGATGCTTCGTAGAACTCTACTCATTGGTAGTAAGCCTATCATATTAACGTTCCCTAATTACACGGGTTTACTCCTTAGTTAGCCTCTCTTGCTTACGAACCTGTTGGGAAGAGGTGTTGCTCATTTTATTGAAGCTTGATGACTTTGGCGTGCGTTTTTAGAATGGGTATGGCAGCTTCCGTTGATGCGTCGAGTATTCGTGGTGTATCTGATTTGATCAGTGCCCATATGTCCCAGAGTACAACGATGGACGTGAACCTGGCAAACCATATCAGCAACGAAGGTCTGCGTTAACTTTTTTTTCGCCAGTTTCGACCCATGTGTAAATGTGGTCTATTCAGCAGATTGGCAAGATGAATTCTCTTCTGATGTTGAACCTTCACCGCGAGACATGACATCAGAAGAGGAAAAAGCAGCTCCAAGCACGGCTTCAGAAAACACACCCAAAAATGCCAAAGGAAGCGAACGGGACGAAGAGTACGGCTTACTATTTGTTTAAGCGTATCTCATTGCAACATGGGGTAAACTGTTTGCACAGCAGTCGACTAATTTTTTGAGGGGATCCAATAGCAAACACAGTTTGGATAAAAAAAAATGGAAATTAATGAAGGGGGATCGAATTGTATGACGTCTCATGGGAATTATGTTCAAACCGTTTATTTAGTTGTTCTAGAGATGAACATTGAAAAAGGGTGGAAGTAGGAGGGATATAAAAAGCAGAATAAGAATCTTTGAGAAATGCAGTTCTTAAATTTTTGAAATGAAGTCTTTACAGGGAGTGTCAGTCGGTTTACCAAATAACTTATTTGTTATAACTTTTTCCTTCATAGTTGTTACGCTATTATTCATTGGGTTTACAATTTAAGGGAGTCTGAGGAACAGCGCGATGGTGAGGACTCGCTTGGAGCTGATCTTACTGGTTAGTTGGCTTAGCAAAGCATTTATTTCATTCTTAATGTTCTCATGTGTCACAAGTCCGTAGGTAATAGATTTGGTTTGGCGAGCACTTGACCCTTAACATTAGGTTTTAGTTTGACTGTCGCTGTTGTTTCCTTTCCTATTAATTGCACCTATCCACGGTTCTGAGTTCTTCTTACGGTCGGACTAAAAAAAATGTGTAGTAACATTGTAAACAAGAAAAAATATGCCAGTTCACTTCAATTCCTCTTATCTACAGGAAATCTTGTTGATCCGGCGGAATTTGCATCAGCGGGTAATTGTTGCGTATCTTCCATTCCAAAGCATGGTTGTCGTGTAGATTTGCAGCTTCTTAGTTTGTTTGATTTAGCATGCGGGCCTGAGCTGTTGACTTGGAAATATAAAGTGTGACAGAGTGTTGTGAGGTGTAGTAGTAGACGCACATGCTCACTATAGCCACTTCGGAGGTGAAAATTTGAGGAGGTGGTAGGAATCATTGCTTTCAGTTTTGATGTGTGAATGTGCTCTTAGAGAGTCTCAAATTTTCTTAGTTGCTAAATGTAGTGGTAATGTGTTGTTGCATTCAACAGACATCGAGAATGGAGACGATTTTCGTCAAACGAGCAGGCATCAGCAGCGTTCGATTTCTTTGGAATCGGAGAGCGGTAAGGTGAACTTGCCACCTGTGTCCCCAATTCCCATGTTAGTGCTCGGTTGTGCTGTCTGGACCCTGTGTTGTGTAGTGATTTCGTAGTTACGAAAAGGAAGTTTGCCGTGAGAAAATTACTGTGTACAACATTCATGTAGTGGCTGACTCAAAGGCCGGTTGAAAAAGTACCCTAACGGGTGTCCACAAGGTGGTGGGAAGGTAGATCTAGTCTCATTAAAACTGGCATTTCATAACGTTTAGACCGCTACGGTAACCAGTAATCTGCTCACAGTTATGGATTCCTTGTGCATGTTTTAAAATGAAATGCTACTCAATTAACCATGCACGTCTGCACGAAATCTTCAAGTACCTTGTTTCGCTTCTGCTCTGCACGTTAAGTTAAAGTCCTTTATCGTTAACATTTATCAAACGTAACTAACATGAATATGGTTTCAGTGAACGACACCTTCATAGGTATGTTTCTATGGCGTTGTGAGGTGTTTGAGAAATGACGGTGTTCGTATATTCTGTAATTTTACTTTTTGTTAAGTGCCGTACAAACCGGCATTTTTTAGAGATCCGTAATATGTGGAAAGGATTTTGCATGTGTTGAAATGCCTACTATGAATTGCAATTACAGTGGCTTGTTCCTATTTCTTTTTTCAGAGTTCTCAAAGTTTTCTGCATTCAGGAATGGGTCGAGAAGTTGAAAACCTAATCAAGGAGAACATGGAGCTGCTTGATATGAAAAATGCCCTCAATATTGTCAAAAATGATCTTATTGCAAGAGTAGATGAATTGAGCAGGTAATGACTGAGAGTGTTGTCTGTATCTTTCGAGTTGCACAATGTTTCTTTTTTCTCAGCGAAAATGCGATTCTCCGTGACGAGGTGCATAGCTTCGAAATGGTGCGAGTGAAAATGAGCGATAACATTACGAAACTTGAAGAAGAACTCAAATCTGTGAAGCAAAAATTAGCCGAAAAGGAAGCCGAGGAAGAGGTTTTTTCTTTTGACAAGCCAAAAATGAACAAACTTAAAGCCTTTTGTTTTAGGAGGAGGTTCCGCTAGCGCAGAGGAAAAGATTCACACGCATGGAAATGCAGCGAGTCCTCATTGATAGAAATATGTATAAGGTTCGATCCGATAAACTTATTACTTATCTTCTTGTTTTTTTTTTACTTATGTACTCTATTCATTTCGCCTGCTCATTTTCCCATTAAATAGGAAAGACTTATGGAATTGGAAGAGTCCCTCAAATGGACCGAGATGCAGAGGGCAAGGAAACTTCAGGCGCAAGCACCTCCTCCAAAGAAAGGCGGAATCTGGGATTTGTGAGTGATGACTTCCTGTTCTATGACTCCAGTTTATACTTTCTTGCGTTTGTTACAGCTTCTCTGGTCTGTTCGGAGACTTATCGCCACCAACTCAGCCTCGCCGATCCGGTTTGCGTGCTGACGCACGTGGGAAAAGTCAAATGACTCGAAGTGTGGAATACCTCGACCCAGAAATGTCAGTAGAAAATTAAACTTGATTGTTATGTCGTGCTGTTCCCTTATTAGCTGCTTTTACATATGCTTCAGTTCTAGTCAGTAGCTACCTCAGCTTTCCATGCCTACCTGATTAGCTTTACGGGTATAGCCTCACGGGTGAAGGGAATTTTTATTATAGCATATTTCCTCGAAGCAAAAACTCACGTACACCCGCCTGTGCTACTATTTTCTTGCTTCGGGACCACCCACTCGAACTCGCCTAGTTACTCTTTGATATATATGATTAGAATCGCCCACGATCCAAGAGCTAGGCATACTTTTTAAACATTTTTAGCTTTATTCTTATTTTCGAGTCTGTTCTTTTCTGGCTCATTGCATTCTATGGCTAGATTTCTGTTGGTTTTGTGCACGTTCGTTTTGGTTGAGTGCAAACTCCTAGATATTAGCCATATGTGGTTTGTTTGCAGGAAGTAGCATAAAATGCTTCCAAAATAGACACTAAAGATCATTGCATTTACTGGAATTAGTACTCAACCAATTGATGTTGTGGTTATGTGATCGAGTATGTGATAGTGCATCCTTAGTGCGCTGCTTATTCTGCGTCATTTCTATTTGCCTCGAGTATTTACCATAAACAGAGTCTGTTTCTCATAAATAAACACACGAAGTGATATCAGCGAACATACCTTATCTGAGAATGGTGCTGTTTTTACAAACGTGGCTCATCTCTATTTTACGTCTTGTTTATTTAAGAGAAACAGACGTATAAATTAGATGTGCAAGGTGAACCTCCAATTGGATGGTTACTTATGATAGACGGCCTTTTTTTCCCCCTTCTGTGGATGAAATATGTGCCCCTACTATCCTACGCTTCCCACCACTTCTTTTAGAAGGTCGTGGTCATCAGTGCTCCTTAGTTACGAAGCGTATAGCTTCCATACGGCTTACTAAACATGACCAATACCAGTACGTGAATAGAATTCAATTAGATTTCTTTTTAATGGTTCACTGAAATGGTTTAGTTTCCTGGTAGATCTCCTTGCTCATTATGGCTCAGCACTATGCATGTTGTTAATTAAACTGAAATGAGCCATTTGGAATGTTGAACGTATTATATGTTTCCTGTTTGGTCCGTGACAGCCCGATCTACTTGTTGGAGAAAGATTTAATGTAGGATGAGGTGTTTCATGTGGTGTGAGTACGAGTAAACATTGCTTATGCACCCTTTGTTTGCTTGTAGCATGACATTTTTCGTTTTAACGCACGGAAAAATGAAAAATACACTGGCTTCAGGATATCAGAGCGTCGAGCTGCTGAACGAAGAGAACAGTACAAACTCGTACGTGAGCACGTTAAACGGGATGACAGTGGTCGCATTGAGGTAAAACAGTGTAGATATATCAGTTGTGTTCTAAAGCAGGTATTCGAATCTTCTTTTATAGCCGCTATCTCTGTCGAAAAGTGCTGAGAACAGCTTCAAGTTGCCTGTGGTAGACTTTTTGTTAAGTTTAAAGACCGCCTGCACAAATTTGAGACGAAAGCCGCGATTGGACCGGGTAATCAGTTAGCAAGCCGATCAATGCAGTTATCTATGCGATCCCATTTTCCTGCCGTGCTCGTGTTGGAGAGGGTTTTTCTTGCGCAAACATTGTTGGGAGGCGCTATCGTGGCTAATCTTTGTCTTCTCCGACATTGCACGCTGAGAAAATGGGCTTCAATGAATCATGGGTGGGATGCATAAGGAACGTAGTGGAAGATTGAACTTTATTGTTTGTTCCTTCCAATCCGATACACGTATCAGTAGCCTCATTCTGGTCATTATTTTGAACTCGAAAACGCAGGCCATATTTTGTGTGATAAAACTCATGTATGCTCGAGAGCTCACTTGTAGAAGAGGGATACGCTCAGTAGGTGAGGAACTCAATCGGACGGTCTCAAGAGATATCATAGTTGCTCAAATTTTGTTGGGACACTAGAACATTTGTCAGAACGGCATAGTTTACTGAAAACTGAAGGAGGAACTTGTTGTGATAATCGCACTATGAAACCTGTTGAGGTTTCTTATGCATCCTGCTGCTGTCAGAGCATTTCTGGCAATTATTGGATGCGGCTCGATAAAATTTCGTGCAGGCAGCCTAATTTTTTTTAAAGAAATTAGTGTAGTTCCAAGAAATTGTGAATACTGGATGGTTTCACTTCTGGGAGTTTTTTGTTTGCCTAATCCAGGAATGACAATGCATTGCTTTTGTTTCTAATGGCTTTGAATGCTGCTAAGTAACTCGAATCCTTTCCTTTCAAACTGACATCTGCTTTCCTTAAAATACTGAAATTTTTACATTGAAACTTTATTTATTCAGGCATACGGTTGGTCTTTGCCAGCTGTATTGGATAAATCAAATGCCTCAACCATGGTACCTGTTCCAGTTTGTTGTCGTCCGCTCATGGAAAATCAGCCATCTATAAAGGTTGGGTACAGCTGAGACTCGAAGTTTCCATCGATCTTCGATTGCAGATTTAAGATATTATCGTACCTTTCAGGTCTGGTGTGCTACTTCTGTGATGCTTCGTGGAGGTCTCGACAAAGATGGGAAATTCATAACGGGAAATCCAGTCTACTTATCTCCTAGCGCAGCAAAGGTTCCAAAAGGAGCAAACAGCGACGACCAGCTCGAAAATGAAATTTCGGTGTGCAAGCAACATATCAATTATTTTTTAGCAATGTAAAAGTTTTCATTTCAAGCACGCTCGGGCGCTGGACGCCAGAGAAAGTGAGCTGACTGAATGGCAAACGTCGTCCATTATCTGGGTAGGCAGCTCTAATCAAGGCAAAAGCCATGTGGCAGTGCTTGATGCCAATAATCCAAACAATGTCATTGAAACTTTCCGAGCATGCGAAAGTCACTTGCTCTGCATACGTGGTGTACCAGGTTAGTCAATGATGCTCTGTAACGTCGACTCCACTAAAAAACCTCTTTTTAGGTGTTTCCGAAGGTGATCCTTCTATAGATGATGCGGGTGCTAAGGCATTTTTATGTGGTGGAGGAAAGGTCAAAGATGTCCCAGATGGTAATCTTTGACATACTCATTCAAATTAACTCAAATGAACAATATAAGTAAGCTATTGTTCCAGGTATCGAATTTTCCGATTTGGGAGCTTGTGAATGGGTAGAATTACGGAAGATGGAAGATTGCGAAGACGGAGTTCCAACATACTGCAGCAACGATATGCGGCCAAGTCCGAAGCGAACTCGAGACTGTTAGTTATTTAATTATTCCAATCGTTTCTTCACTTTCGTTTTCTCCTTCCTCATTGTGGTTATGTGGTCTGGTGTCGCCACTACTCACAATCATGTGCGTAATTGGTGGTGTTCCAATTAACGTGTCTTTTGTTATGTGTTCTTCTGCTTCACAATACAATTTATTTCAGTTAGCGTTAGCGACACTGGAGCAGCCACAGGACCACCTGAAGGTGTGATTTTGTTGCACTTGTTTATCGTTTTTCCATCAGTGTATCAAGGAAAAGCTAATATCGGTGAAGGGGCATGACTGCTGCTGAACTTTCATCGTTTATAGTGAAACCAGTACCGATGGATAAAGTAGAAGAGGTGTCGGAAGACCAGAGCGCTGAAATTACTGAATCAGAAACTCCCGAGACTAACCTTCTGATTCTGCTCGAAAAATCGAAAGACCAAAAAGGTGGAATATAGGTGTTGTACTGCGTTTTGTGGTTGGCTATCAACACCTGGCTTCTGCTAATTTTTCCTCAACAGGGTTGTAGTGGTAGTCTGCTTTCATGCTTCCTCACCATTTAAGTTGCCACTCATCTATCGTGTCAGACCATGTTCAGTTTAATACGTTCCTTCTCACTCTGCATCTTGCATTTTGCAAGATAAAACTCTTCTCACTCATTTATCTTTCCAGATGATGTGGAACCACAACGGCCGTCTGGTAGTCGAGTGGGAAGGGCCGCGCTGCCGTCGCATGTTCGTGAAGCCATGAATAAATACGACGAAAGTGTCACTGATATTCCTACAGGATGGCCCACCGTATGGATGGGCAGTCAGAATCAGTAGTTAGTTGTTCAATGTTATCAAGTTTATCACCTTATATTATAACTGGAAGCCATCCCTCACACACACGTGGATCCCTTGAAGATAAACCTTTCGCTGTCAGTAGCGTTGAATTTTATGGTGTAAGGTGTCCCAAACAATAAGCATTATAATTGTTTTTGTTTAGCATATACATTCACTCAGCAGTGGTTTCTTGGAAACGATGTCTGCGACGGATAAAGATGCCAGATGCGGTGCTGTCTATTATGTGAGTTGTTTCAAGAACTTAGATTGCCGATAAGTCTTAGTGCCTGATCCTTGTCTCTCAGTTGGATTATAATTGAGTTAATCCAAATTTCAGACACTACAAAGGACGCGTTTTTGCTGCACTAGCAAATGGAACCCTTGCGGTGTTTCACAGATCAAAAGGTACTTTTACTATTTCCTTTTCAATATGTAGACCTTCGTATCAGGATTAACATTCAATACATTGAAGCGAATGTTCCAGGTGGTGAATGGGCGGATTTCGGGTATCACACTATTCGTGTTGGCCCTGCTACTTCTTCTGTCCGGTGTCTTTGTATCGTGGCCAGCAATATTTGGGCAGCTTACAAAAATTGTATTGTGGTTGTGGATGGAGAAAGCCTGCAGATTGTCGTAAGTGGATTGAACATGGATTATATTGCTCCCATCCTCTGCAAATTGATGGCAACTTGAAAAAAACTGGTTCACACGAACTTGTAATTGCGGTATTTCAGAAGGTGTTCGCGGCGCACCCACGCCGAGACAGTCAGGTGCGTGCAGTTCAATGGGTAGGCGCAGGTGTCTGGATTTCGATACGACTCGACTCTACCTTGCGCATGTATCATGCTCATACATTTGAACACCTTCAAGATGTTGATATTGAACCATATGTAACCAAAATGCTTGGTCAGTTTAACATTCATCGATACGAGCATCATATTTGGTGTTATCCTTAGTGCGCACTTCAGGCACTTCACGGTTGGACTTTTCATACATGAGGACTACTGCTCTCCATATCTCGAATCGACGTCTCTGGATAGGTACTGGTACAGGAGTCGTCATCTCAGTTCCGCTAAGTGGCAGTACGTTGTCAATCTTTTTTAGGGCTTCGAAGCTATGCGTAGCCTATGCAATGTGAGTTTTACCACTCCATTCCAGGTTTGGAGCAGAAGGTAGAAACGAATGATGGGAAAAAGTCGTCCAATGGACCGGGCGGGCTTGTTCGAGTGTATTCGAGCAACAAGGATTCGAAGGACGTAAGTAACTTTAAAACTTGTATTCCTTATTGGTTCGGTGATGGTTTACGAGATTTAACGAGACAGCGAATATCATCGAAATAACCTGCATTAAGGATGCATCTTCATCAGGCAGTGGCGGTGGAGCTTTCATTCCATATTGTAATTTAACACAAGCCCAGCTTTCTTTCCACGGTCACAAAGATAGCGTGAAGTTCTTCCTTGCGGTGCCAGGTGAATTCAAATTCTTCAACTTTTTCAGGTTTTCACTGATTCTTCGTCCAAATTACAATAAACATGATTTTTTTCAACTCTACTCCTTTTCAGGCGCCCCACGGGAAGTAGAGGACGATCAGGAGGCGGAACTACGTAAAATGCTTGTAATTTCAGGTGGTGATGGCTATATCGACTTCCGGTTAGGTGAGTTCTTGTTTTTAGCGCTGCATTTCCAGCGAAGAGCGACATGAGAAAAATGCGCATCGCTGCATCAATAAAAGTGCGATATTGCTTGGCCCATGAATCTCAGTCTGTAAACGGAAATTCTCGGTGATTATATTGTTGAGATAGTAGAAGGTTTTCTCGCAACTAAGACTTTAACTGCCAAACTGATTCCTTCCAGGCCACAATTTTTGAATAAGAATCGTTAAAAATTCTCATACTCTACACAAAGTTCAAAAACCCGGTCCAAGAGAGCAGGAGTATTGTTTTCTTGCGAAACGCACACACAGCGACACACTTCGTGCGTTGAGTTTATTCTCACTCTTAATCCAAATTGACTGTGTGTCCAAACTAAAAATTTTCACGCACTCCAGCCCGGAGTTGAATCCTGTCGCCTGCCATTAGTGTTCCAATCCTCCCAGTCCTGCCTTCTTTACCCCTCTGAACACTTTAGGTGCACGGTAATAGGAGTCCTGAATTGCTATCCAAACCCCGCCCACCATGGGTGGAGTCCGGTTCTGCCACTCAGCGTAAGTGTTCACATCATGCTGCCAATATTTCTTCGAAATTTGAAGGCTCTAGGTGCACGAGACCAGTAGTTACGAATTTCTGATCAAAGCCCGCCCACTGTGGAAGGAGACCGAGCCTGCCACCCGCCACCAGTTTTGTCGTCATTCTTCCTGCCGTTTGTACTCATACCAAGTTTGAATGCTTTCGGTTCACTGAGAAAGGAGTTATGGTTTTCCGGTCGGACGCACGCACATAAATACACACACAATAAACAACTTTAGCGGGTTATGTAAATAGGATGATTTCGAATATTATTAGCTTTCAAAAACGAGTAATCTGTGCAAATGGAAATTTGGCAAAAGTGATTATAAATCAATGGCGTTGTTAGACATAAACTAGTTTGCTCTGTTTACTGATGTGGATGTAAGTTTCACGAAGTAACTTTCAGGAGAAGAAAACGAGCCACCAATAACCACCAAAGGGGTTCGAGCACGGGACATGTCTCATATTATCATTTGGGAAGTCGATGCCGAATTGCCGGTGATTTCTAGTTGACAATACTAGTTGCTTTCTGTCGCTTGCCCGATTGTTTACTCCGCCGTCGTCGTGTGGGGAAAACATCAGCTGACCAAATTGTACTGATTCCGTTTTACCTAGTCACACATGATGCCTCCCATCATACTTTACCGATGTTTAACTATGTAATTTAGCTTCGACTTTCTATTCTTCTCGGTACTTGCTACTTCTGAAATAGTTTTATTGCTTTACGTCGTGCTCTTCTCATGTTTTGGACAGATACTGCTTTGAATTTCCATCAGTGTGAATACTGTAATAATCAATTTTAGGATTTATTCTTTCCTATATTGAATGAATAATACACAAGTTTTACAGAACAGCATTTGCCTATCAGTCCTCTGTGTTGCAAATTGATATAGTTCCTATGCTAGGTAAGGTTACTAATTGGAAATGATCTGGGTATGTTTTAGTAAAAAGTTGTATTTACAAAGGAAAAAAACTGAAATTCGTTGTAAAATTGAAAGTCGGTCTCTTCTATGTACACATTCTGACTTCCTTTCTCTTTATTTCAATATTGTCCTGTCATTTATGCATTGCTAGTCGTTCGTCACTTGTGATTGTTGGAGATCTTACAGCTAAAACAAATAAATCTGTATGGTTAAAGTTATCTCCACTGTTAGAAATATGAGCGCAGCTGTTACAAGGCTATTCCATTTCAATCCAAAATTTTTGTTAACAACTGTTTTCAGATGGCTTTGCGGGTGCAACATAGCAGAAAAGCAATGGAATTTTTCATAAATCTTGGTATGTTCGTCAATTTGTAAGCGCTGTATAGATACCGTTCGCTTTTACAGAGTTTAGAAATCCTATTCGATTTTTTTCTCTAATCGATAAGGAAAAGATCACTTTGATAGTGAAGAACAGTGGAAAGACAAGATTTTGCTAATTGTCAAGTTTCTAATAGTTGAATAAATTCTTTAGTAGACAGAGTTTGTTTTATTTGTTTTTTCCTCTATATTGGCTCCAAGAAAGTTTTAAAATGTTCAATCTAAATACGGGAAAACTTAGGGCACTATTCTACTATTACACCCCCAAAAACTCAAAATTTTAATTTTCGATGAAACNGTTTCATCGAAAATTAAAATTTTGAGTTTTTGGGGGTGTAACAGTAGAATGGTTCTGGGGGTGTAATAGTAGAATAGTACCAAACTTAGTATCAGATGTTGGTTGATTGTCATAATCATAAACTTCATTATCAGGCAATGGATCCAAAGCGCTGCTTCAGTACAGGGAACTTCCGAACAGGATACTAGAATTTCACAACACAGAGACACCGTTGGAACACCAAGGGAAAGGCATTGCAAAGCTGCTTGTGAAGGTTAGTGCTGATGGAATTTGGATGAAATGTTTCCGTCTGTCATTAGACAGTAGTTTATTCTCATAATGATGAATGTTTTTACTTTTGGTAACACAAGGTAACAGTACGCATCGGTATTACAAAAGACAATAGGACGGACCTCGTTTCTTCCCGCACCTTCACTGCCTAGTGATTTCTAATCATGATCCGTTTATGAATAAGATTTTCGCGACCCCGCTATAAATAGCAAAGTCGCGTGGTTTCTTCTGGTGGCTTATTGTTGGATTGTAGTGTATTCTTTTAGCCTCATTGTAAGGAAGAGAGTGAAAAGACAGTGAATGATTAGGGTAGGGAAAAGACGAGAGAATCCTACGGTATGAGGTCGACTGACGGATTTTCTCCCCAAAATGTAAACAACTTTCTGAAAAAAGAGGGCACGTCAGGAACGCGTAAATGACGCGAGTATTTCTAAACACCTTTGCAATCCCGCATGCATTTCTTGCCTCCTTTCTTGCTTAGTTCTCTGTTATTACCATGCCCGTCTCACTTCTCCATTATGCCATTTCATTCTGCTCCACTACTTTTTCTATTCATTCCTACGTTTTGTAACATCCCATTTATGCTCACTAGAAAGCTCTATCCTACTCATCAATGGCTATTATTCGTACCTCACACCGCCCCAGGTAACACCAATAAGTCAGAATGCAGGTAGCATCACAACGCTTATAATGGAACCAGACTCCCTGACGATTTAACGATTTCAAAAGGAATTTGAAGTGTCCAATTATGTACTGCTAAAGATTTTCTGCACCTACATACTTTTGATGGCACGGCACAAATGTGCTGTGCTCGATGTTTGATATCTGATATTTACGGTGGTTTGCAAAGTAACAGTGCAGAGAGTATGAAAAACACTGCTAATTGTCTCCATTGTCTCCTGAAGGACCACAACATATTTGTTCTTATCTCTTACGTGCTAATCGAAGATGCGATAGTGACACTGACAGGGCGTCTGAATTTTGAAGCTGCTTCTATGCTTAGGCCTTTTACATCTATGAGTTCTTGCATTATTACTCCGAGAGAGGTATCATTAAAAACATAAATATTGCAGGAAGGTTTCAAGTATGCTGCTGAAAATAGGTATAGGATCAAACCAACATGTTGGTACGTACTGAAGTATGTAGAGGACGAAGCAACTGAAGAAGAGCAAAATCTCTCCACAACTGTATCATGCGAATAACTAATTATGTATGAATAATACTCTGATTTACTCTTTTCTTCCATTTCCGTGAAAGTGAGCAATGATGTGTACTGTCACTATTAGGTCTTAGTAAAGTAATCTGTGAACGCCTAGCATTGTGAAAAAACAGGTAATAATGTGCCATGCTCGAATGGATTCCCTTTTGAGTTCGCAATATATTTGAACAGTGTGTCACTATTTTTGAGATTTATTTGCATTAATTGTGTTACTATGTAAATATTAGATTTTTTGAAATTAGTCAATAAATAATTGCGAATTGAACTGTTCCCAGCTTGGCAGTTGAATAAATTGGATATTCCGAATTCAGTATTTCAATTTCATCAGGGGAAAACATCTAAATCCGCGGCCTAGAAGTTATTTGTGAAAATTTCTAGATGGCCTTACGCGTACAACACTGTAAGTCGGCCATGGAATTTTTCATAAACTTTAGTGAGTTTCTCGTTTTATTACCTAAGTTACTGATTTCATGAATATATAGCTCAGAGTAGAGGTAGTGGTGTAGTGGCAAGTGGTCATTAGGCACTATCTGACGGGCCCCATTCGCATTCGTAGCGGATTCAAATCCCGGCTCGGTATCCGCCTAGGCCAACCAAGCCTTCCATCCCTCCGGACTCGGTGAATTGGTACCAGATTCGTCTGGTAGGATTAAAGCACTGGCTTGTACATCGGCTGGCCACCGCAAGCCATTTTAGAGGTCCCATTAGCATTCACTAGCCACTAGATTTTGAATGAAAATCGAATCTGTGGACGCATCCCTCAGACGGCATTGATTATCGCCAAAGACTTGACTTTACTTCATGAAGCTAAGAATGGCTTCATTTGCTCGGGTAACACTGAGTAATCGGGCTCGTCTCACTTCAAAGGATAGGGTGTGTTGCGATTCGTGCGATTCTGCGTGCGCGCGGCAAATTGCGCGGCAAAATTCGGTGCGATTTGGACGACTGCAGTGTTTATCATTGGGGCCCAAATTTGAAGTAAAGTAGGTTAGTAGGATTGTCCGACCCTACTAAAGTACTATACTCCAAGTTTGTACCCCAGTGATAGGCGCCAGAGTTGTTTGAATCATCGCGAATTTCGCCGCGGAATTTGCCGCGCGCGCCCAGAATCGTACGAATCGCACGTCCCCCCGAAGGATGAGTTGATAGTTAGTAGATTTTATGAAATTCTGACTTCTATACTCGATGTTTGGAGCTGTTCTTTCGAGAGACATCGATCAAAATCACATAGACATGGTTTGGTTTCCTAACCTTTGCCCATCCCCGAGTGATCTTGACCGCTCACTTCTCGTTCATGCTCCACCGGGGTGTGCTGCGGTTTATCGTCGAGATAATGGTGTTACGCCACACTCGCGACCCGTTGCAATTGAGGCTTATACTTGTTGTGGGGAGTATGCAACGACACGACCATCGTGGTCACTAGTGTGGTGAGGTTGCTCGCCCAAAATCTATGAGATTTGCCACGCGGATACCTCTGAACTGCTCAAGTGCACGGCTTATTGATACAACAAGAATACTAACAGATATTCCTCTTTCTACTGCGTATTGTGGAGTCGGATAGTGTGTGGTAGGGTATTGTGACGGATATTGCGTCGGATATTGTGTCGGATATTGAGTATTGAGTCGGTTGGATATTGCGGATACGGTATTGCTGTATTGTGGACCACCAAGTCCAAGAATAATCCGAATGAGAAGCCCTCCGGCTATTTGTACCCCTCGGTCGGACCAAAGATCAGATCACACGCAGTTATTGGCCTTCAAATACTGGTGCGCGTAGACCCACCTTGACGAATGAGTGTTAGTGTAGTGATTGCCGCGTTTAACATGTAGTGTATGGTAGCAGTTGCTACAACCATAGTGAGACTGCGAAGGGGAGGCTTGGCTTTCCTGCTAAGACATCTTTCTTATACGTCCCCTGCCTTATGATATTAAGCACTATTCTTTAATCTTATTTAATTTATATTCTTTAACACATATGGGAATCTGATAAAGACGAAGTCTGGGAAACAAATGATGGGAAATGATAACTAAAATTAGGCTTCACCCTTGCTCTGCAATACTCCTTGCACGCCACATCTTGGGGCGTAAACTCATTGTTTCGGCGATAGAATCGCACATTCCCAGCTTCGCCCCTTCGTCGCTAACTCTGCGGGTTTAGATCGAGCATAGCAGAGTAGCAAACCTAAACCTTGACTTTACCCAGTTTTTCGGTGGTCCGGCTTTTTAATTTATATATGAAGGGAAAGACCGAATTGGGCCACAAGAGAGAATTTTTTGAGTAGTAGCATCTGTTATTTCAATACAAATAATCTATGTTGATTGACGTTAAATTTGAATANAATATTTAACTAGGCAACGGTAGTCGAGCAAGGCTTCAATATCGGGAACTTCCTGGACGTATCCTTGATTTCGATCACACTGAAACACCACCAGATCAGCAAGGGAAAGGTGTTGCCAAGATGCTTGTTCAGGTTTGAAGCCCTGCCTATGTTTATGGTTCCTTTCGTCCTTGCATTGAGTCAATCCACTTCATATCTGTTTTCAAAGGGTCTCTATGAACCCGATTTCAGGAAGGCTTCAAATACGCTGCTGAGAATAATTACAAAATAATACCAACATGTTGGTATGTTGCCAAATATGCGAACGAAATGGCAACGGCCGATGAGAAGAAACTAGTTTGTCAATAACCTCTAGGTGTCGATGATTTGTTATAGGTGCTGATTGCTGTTTTGCTTCACTCCTGCTACACCTGTGTCATTATTAGATGAATTTTATTAGAAATGAATTAAAGTGACAGCGTAAAACAAGAAAAAATAAAAATAAGATTAAGAGAGTCACTGAATGAATGTGACATGTGGGTAATTATGGAATGATAGCTCAAAATGGGAATAATAAATACGTGATGGCCATTACAAGTCCAATTCCTCAAACTTTTTTCTTCCCATCCTTGAACCAGCTCACGCTGTTGTCCTGTTCGATCTCTTTGCGTATAAGTTCATCAGCTTTTGGATCGACTTTGCTGAGTTCGCGGAAACCCTTGTCTCCAACAAAACAGATTTCATGCTTGTCCTGTAAGTAACCAAAAGCAATTTTTCTTCTGTCTGACCAGAGATAATTGATGGAATAAATGAGCGGCCGCTATTGACCTAGGCTATATGTGGTCCTTGAGTATACGGAGGTGAAGCACTCTAGTCACTGGGTAGCAGCATTTTGAACATGTTTTACAATCGGACTCAAATAAGGCGTGTGCCGCTGCCGGACAAGACGGATTTAATCGTCCCGTGAAAGTGTTACTCAGTAACCTGAACACACAAGCGTCTCTAAACACCCGTCACATATACGACGCAAGAGAAGGATTACACTGGGTGAAGCTCAAGGCGATGGGTGGTGTGGCANCTAGGGGTTACTGTACCATACGGGACGCTGAAATCTCTCTAATCCGCTGCCTGTCAGCATCATAAACCATATGATTTCTACCGAGATTGTTACAGTGTTTAGTAAGCAGGGATAGTGCAGAGGAAATTCAGTGGTTTCGTAGATCCAAATCAAAATCTTTTCACGGGTTTTCCTGCTACTAAGACCTCGAGAGCGTAAAGATCATGTGGGATTGTTGTCAACAAGAACCTCTGCAACAAGAATTCTTGTTGACAACTGTCCCGTGACTACTCCCGAGGGGTCCAGTGGAGAAACAGTCAAGCAAATGCAAAGAAAAACATGTTTGCGAGGGTTTAGACGAAGAAACAGTTCCAACGTAGGCAAATAAAATCACCTACTGAGCTATTTTGAAAAGAATACAAAGTGTTAAAGCATACTGAACTGCCCTGCTCAGGATTAAAAAAGTTGTGGAACCGTCTGGGATCGAAAATGTTCCACGTATTCACTATATCCATCTATTATTAGAAAGGTACAAATCAACCGGGAATGCCTTTTACTACTGGGCAACTGCAACGGGGTGGATACTTAACGGATTGCTCAAGTATTCATGGCTAAAGCACTCAGTCTTAGATGCTTTCGCCAAAAGAAGTTGTTTATCCTTTGATTGAGGTTAAAATGCCAGAATTCAAAAGGTAAGCGAACTCACGGGATCAGCAAGAATCACGACTTGTACACTAGCTTTCCCTGGAGTGTCGAGTGTGACAAGTTCTTTGAGGATGGGTAATTTGGCGGCTTTGATCTTCTCTTGCAGTTCAATAAGCTGAAGGTGAATAACGTCGTATCCATCCTAAACCTGGTATAGTTCTACAAAACTTGCCTTCTCATCTGGATAGGCGAACGCTATACGACCATATGCGCTAGCTCTATCTAGTGCTGTACCTTCTGGAAGTTGACGTACTTCAAGGCGGCACTGAAAGTGGGTGACTTTTTCTCTACAAAGCAATACTTTTGAAAGGTATACTAACTTGGCCTTCTCCGTAGCTCATGGTAGTACGTCCTCCATCTCGTTCTTCGACTACTTTCATGCCCAACTGATTGGTCCAGTAGTCTAGGAAACATGAGTAATTAATTAGTCAGGACCGTAGATTATGTATCCAACACCTACCAACGCTTTTCTTCAGATCCTGTACTCTAACGCCTACTTTAACCACTTTTGGAGGTCCTTTTCCTGGGCATATGAGGAACCAGTGACCATCCGGATCTGTTATCTGAATACAAAGTTAATAAGTAATAATGTTCGAGCAGGTAAATGGTTCAAGGGATTGGACAGACGGGAATAAAAAGGAAGTAGAAGAATGTTCTGAAGACGTGAACAGGCTAATGGATTAGGGTCAAAAGAAGGTTTAGTAATTTTTGGGAATAATTTTTTCCTCAAAGCCATCCACGTAGGCCACCAGTCGGCGGAGACTGGTTGCTTGCCATTGTCCGACCTTGTCATTTCATTGGATTCACAGAAGTTCCTCTCCTCTTTAGACAACTTCTTGAAATGCTCTCGAGTGTATTACATTCGAGTACACCCGGAACAGTTGCAGCGATTAAGATAACAAAGAATCTTAGGCATTTCATCGGTAGAAAACCTTTTCAATTACCATATTACCATATTTTGAGGAACTACATTGTTAGCTTCTCAAGACTGGATCGAGACGAACCCCCGTTATGAATTATTCACCCAAAACTGTTACCTGGAGCTTGCCGCAGGGAAGTTTCTTTGCACTGCCGAGCCCTTCGATGGACTTGTGAAGATCATCAGATTCAATGAAAATTCCCTGCAATTAGACTAGCAAAATTTCGCTTTACGTCGCTTTGGACTGTCCTACAATTGTAAGAGCCCTTGACTCACCATAAAGTCGTTGCCAAGTCGATAAGAGCCGATCTCGTAGTTATAGGTCAACTCCAGGACAAAATGATCGTCTTCACTGCCATATCCCACCATTGTCTTACTCCATTTTCCATTATAAGGCCTGGGTTATGGTCAAAGCAGCATCAGATGGATCAGTGATGGATGAAACCAATCAAATGAAAGGTCATACCCATTACATTCTGCTTTGCATCCNATAAAGTCGTTGCCAAGTCGATAAGAGCCGATCTCGTAGTTATAGGTCAACTCCAGGACAAAATGATCGTCTTCACTGCCATAGCCCACCATAGTCTTACTCCATTTTCCATTATAAGGCCTGGGTTATGGTTGAAAAGCAGCATCGGATGGATCAGTAATGGATGAAACCAGTTCAAATGAATGAAAGGTCATACCCATTACATTCTGCTTTGCATCCTTCCTCAAACTCTTCATGTCGCAATACCTACAACGATACTAAAAAATAGAGTAATCCGGAATAATGAAGGTCCTTAGAAGTTGCCGCAAGGCATAGAATGATTCCATTTCTTACCTTCATTTGTAGGGTTTTCGTGAAGAACTCATAAGAAGCTTTTCTGTCGCCGATTTTGAAGACATAATGAAGAGCTCTAGCTGTCATATCTTTCCTCAAAAGAAACCGTTAATGATAGAACATATAACAGAAGCCAAGAGCTATCAGAGAAATCGAACAGAGTAAAGATTAAGAGCCATAAATGCTATAGAAGATTGTTCGATGAAATCAGCGTTCAGAGACGAAGTGAAGCAGTGAGGAGGCTGTACATGAAAGGAATTATGTTCCCTGCCGTTTGCTGAGTATAAAAGTATACATCACTAAACAAGAAGAAATATAAAACTAAGAGAAACCACCATTATAAAAAGCAACCTCAAGAACCGCACTAGATCTGTGCTCATTAGTAATGCTGCAGATGAGAACTGCACCAACATCATAAGTTTTTTGTCCACAACATTGCCCACACTCGTATCGCTCCAAATATCGGCATTTAAGAAAATCAATCAAGGGAAATAAGTGGGCACAGAAGCTCTAGCTCTTGACCACAACTTCCTCATCGGTCACTCTTGTCTCTGAATGAACGAGCAAGAACGAAAAAGAGGAAGCCAGCACGACTAAATACACAGTCTGACGATCAGGAATCGGAGATGTTGTTGCAATCACTGTTGCAAATTCACTGTGACATCAAAAACCACACAACAACGTTGTTTACGTGTTGGTGCCTCCATGGCGTATAAACACCATGACGTGGCCACACTGTTTTCCCATGGCCTCAGCCGCATCTTGAAGAAAAGGTTGCAGGTAGCTGGCTGGTTTTTAGGTAGCCGACTACGAGTTCATTTTTCCACCTTAATGACATTACGAAGTATTGATGGGGACCTGATCGAGAGTCTAATACACCAGTGCGAGTGCAGTCTCATCACCTCACATTGTTCAGTTCCGAGGCCGATACAATAAACCTACTTTCTGAATATTTGCTTTCAGTGCACCATAACAAGTGTAAGCCAGAAATATAGGTATAAGAAACTAATGAAGACTGAGCGGAAGAATGCGGAATTCAAACTTTACTTTTAGTTGAACAGAGTGAGCGAAATCGTTAACGACTCGCCTATTCATATCCTCGTTCTCGTTTCCTAGTTCTCAATGGTCTTTCTGATTCGTATAGCTAAATGTGCATACGAAAACATCCACATAACGAATACAAACGCTGTTTTCACAAACTAGTCAATAACTAACTGTATAACACCTATATTAGTTGCGAGGTAAAAATTCATCCGCAAAACCTTGGATATGATCTCACAAACCGACCCTAATGAATAAAGGAGGTAGTGTCACGAGGATCACTAAAAAAATATCACAATCTGAACGAAAAACCATAAATCCAACATGGGATTTCAGTCGCAATCAATCCTATCCATATGAATGAAATCTAATGATAAATCTACTTCTGTTCTTTCAAAAACTGATAAACAACTCCAAAATCTTTGGTGGCATATCTAGGATCTTGGGCGAGAAGGCGATAAATCTGATGCGCCAAGGATCCAAGTGGTGTCGGTGCCTGAGTTGTTGTTGCAGCGTTTTGTGCCAACGAGAGATCCTGAAATAGAAACAAGTACCAAAATACGGGTGTCAATAATAGGCTCCGCCTCATGCAACGAAATAATATCTAAGAATACTTCCTACAATTAGCTGTTTATAAATCAATTCCCTACACTTATCCACGATACCGGTAGAACCCCAAAGAGAAATAATAGGAACTTACCTTTGCCATGAGAGCGGTGCCAAAGCCGCCTTGATAACCGTTGCTGGGAGGGATACCTTCAATTACACCAGGCACAGGGTTGTACGTATCAGAAGACCAGCAGCGGCCAGAAGAGGTATTAATTATTCCAGCCAAAACTTTTGGGTCCAAACCCATCCTGAAAAACTTGGATATGCCTTGGTCAAAACCTTTTCTACAACATTAGTATAGCTGCATGAAAAATTTGATGGACTATAATACATAGCCATTATAAGTCGTGAAACTCTTTGAATGGAGACCTGGAATATTAGCTGCCTTTATGGTTCTCGAAACCGTGGATGTGTTAAAGACATATTATTAACAGTTTGGTAATCCCTACGACTAATATACACGAACCATTCCTCGTAGAACAGAAGCAAAACAATTTTCACCTACTTGACTCCAAGATTCATTGTTTCCGCAACTCCAGCCATTTCTATGGCTAGCAGCATATTATTGCAAATTTTAGCTGCTTGGCCTGCCCCTACATCTCCACAGTTGACCTGAAATATTGAATAAAAAGTTGTACCAAAGCTATATTTCAAAGAGAGACTATTGCATATGAAACCTAAACTAATGCCTTCCTTCACTCTTTCAAAACCATGGCTGAGGGTTAAACTAGCGCAGCCCCTGTTACTACCTAATCTGATGATGCAAACTAACTTCTCACTACTTCTCCTAGTTCTTTTCCACGTTGACGCTACTCTGCCACAAAGTCCACTGTTTTTTCATGGCGCCGCCTCTTTCCTATCTTAGCCGTAGCCCTAACTTCCGTGGGAATACTCAGGTGACGTTCCTTCCCCGAACCTTAAAATTTCTAATACACACTCTCTAGGCTTCCAAGTCCAGATCTTGGTAAAAATGGTCTGAACGAAGTGTTTCGGAACAAGCCTATGCCATTCTAGTCTTCAACCACTCGTTTTTGTATTGACAGACGCCTGCCTTACTAAACCGATATCCTCCTTCAAACTTAAGCCTTGTCGGATCCACGGAGCTACTACATCAATATTCACTTTCGACGAGCTTCTGATCGGTTAGGCCGTCCACCTCATGCATTCTTGATGGGGCAATATCCACTGCCTTTTGTATAAACAATAGAAGTTAGATGAATCTTTTTACCAAAAGAGTTTACAAGAGCTATGCTCCGTGTAACTACTGATAACAAAAACTACTGAATTGGAAAGAACCTGCTAGTGAGGTGATCCAGAGAACGTCTATAGTGAATGGAAGCGAAGATTCCTTGAACTGGACCGATTATAAACACTCACCACATTCTTTCCCATCAGCTTAATAATTGCTGCAGCACGATCGAAAGTTTTCTGACAGTTCCCACTCCCAAGCATGAACGTGAGTGTTGCGTTTTGCGCACCTAAAACTTGTGAATCGAAAAGACTCGACAGTATAGCTTCGCTGAATAAGTTACCTGTCACTCCGCCCGAAACAGGTGCATCTACATATTTGCTCTGCTTCTTTGCACACCATTCTGCTACCTCAATGGATGCTGTTTGATCAATAGTGGACGAATCTATGCATAAAGTTCCAGGCTGCATCTCTCTTAAAATATTTCAACTCATGTGAATCCAAGAGTCCCTTCTTTCTACGGGAGAGTGCAATACGGATACTGCGAGACCACTTAACGAATAAAGAAGAGTATTGTGAGAATAAAACTTTTGTTAGACATGCGGTTGCCAATTCGAGCAGCAAAGTAACAAACCTTAAGAGACCATCATCTCCTCCATATGCTTTCTTAACATGAGGACTGCTCGGAAGCATGGTGATTATGTCCTTGGAAGCTGCAGCCACTTCAGCCGGACATTCAGCTACTGTAGCGCCGTCAACCTGTAATCCTAGGAGCTTCTTAATAAGCAAAGTCCGCATTTTGGGCAAAAGCTCACTTTGAAAGCAGCCAGCACAGTCTTGTTGATATCATAGACCACAAGTTTGCGCCCGTTCTTCATTAAATTTCGCGCCATATGGGCGCCCATGTTGCCCAATCCGATGAAGCCGACTGTCGACATCCTTGAAAGGTTATCGACTAGGAAAAAATTACACAAAGCGAATTGTCCGTCAAATTCAAGTAATATTTGACATAATAGTAAGACCGTTGCTTCTTTGCACGGCATTACATAATCTCAGAGATCAGAAGCTGTGATTTCATGGCGGGAACTTAAACTAAACTAAATATAAACTTAATATATGCATACCCAAGAGTCCCAAGTCAAGGGGCTTGGTTATGTGTAGGCTGTATATTTGGAGTTGTTCGAAACAATAGAATAAACGCTTTCTCATAACAAATTAAGATGCTTTAATTAAAGTTAGGTTATCCCAGAACTGCAAACAATCTCAATAAATCATATTTTATGATTTTCATAGAGAAGCAGCCAGGAGTTGAAAAAAGCTAATCGGATCACGTGAAGAGCAGTGACCTCACGACAGGAAAACGACCGCGAAGTGCGATCAGCGTACGAAACGATCGATAGGAGAGAACAGAGAGCGAGCTCGCGAAAACTTAACGAAATCATCGCAGTCTACTTTCTACGAAACGGCAAGGAGAACTCACCGACCACCAGTCAACAGTAGACGTGCTGTCTATGAGAACAATGACCGTTGAATTCGTAAAAAAATTGTCCCTGCAAAAACCGAACTATTAGGTCTTCGGCCGTCCCTGAACTACCACTCAGTTTTAGGAAAAAGTTTGGTTACGTGAAACAATGAGCAAAGTGCAAGCACGGGAATAACTCCTGCCTGGGAGTCAACAGCGTCGGTACCCAAGTGCCTCAACATTGTTTCTTTTCCTCGACAATTCATCCTAATCAGCCGCACATTCAATAGAGAATTCCTTCAATGATACCTAGAAGCTCAGTATGTCCACAAAGATCATAAATTTTTGGCGAGAATCCATTTTCGGTAGTATCACATTGGGATGATGCACAGACCTTCTTAGATTCATCGTTGTTCGCAAGTATTACAATAGGACTAATCGATTTCCATCAAATTCAACATTCGAGCAATTTCTTCTACCAAAATTTATTCATATCTCTACCAACAACAATAACGTGTACAATTTCAACCTACGAAATGAAGGCTAATATTGATCACTGCATCTTCAACGACTAAATGGACGATGAAAAGAGTACTTTCAAGAAATGTTGAGACTACCTATCGATTTTTAACAGATTTCAATTACAAAGTTACGAAAGTCGAGTGGTGATCTAATTAGAGACGTAACGAGCCTTGCACTCCTTGAATGCCTCGTTGAATCCATTGCAAAGCGATACGTCAGATTGATTTTGAGTACTGAAATCATTTCATCAAAAGGTCGCTCAAAATCGTCCTATTTCAAACAATGTTCAATAGACCAATACTATCTTCTCACCAGTCAATGAATTGCTTCCATTCAAATTCGCAAGGCTGAGAATAAGCCTGTTGCTGCGGGGCTCCTTGAGGAGCGCTCTGAACAGGTGCAGCTTCGGCTGAAGAACCTCCTCCTCCAGTGAACATGTTGCCAACGGCGTGACCCTACAAACACACGCGTGGTAATTTTCCCTCAATATGACATGGATGAAGAAGAGTTGTTGTAAATAACTTACAACAGCGCTACCAATGGCAACTCCTCCGGCTGTAGCCGCCATTTGCGCCATNAGCAAATTACGTGTCAAAAATAATTAATTTTACCTGTTCTAGCCGGCATTGAGGGCATGGGGGCAGGAGGTGGAGCAGCACGCATGGCCGACGGTGGAGGCGAAGCACGTCGGACCGGGCCCGAAGGCTTCGGAGATGCAGTTCGTCGACGGACCATTGTTTTTCTTAATGAACTATGCCAATTTCAGGACAGAGGCGAAAGTTTTCACGTTTAGTTCGAAAGTCGGATAATACGCTCTCTCTAATCAGTCAAGTCTGCATTATTCGAGGTTCAAAAAAAGTACTTTGAGTGCGTTTCAAGCAAAATTTGTCTCAGAAAAAAAGGAGAGTACGAATATGACGGTACGCAGTGAAAAGGAAATATGAAGAAATCCTGACCTACATTTCTCATCTCTCGAGTTACACCTAAACCGACTCAATTCAGCAAGTCCAACCAACATCAAAGTTTTCCACTTTCAGGAAATGTTGCTTATCGATCTTTTAGCCCAAAGCCTGCTTCTACTGTGTTGTTCCAGGTCCCTGGATATGCTGAGAAATCGCGTTCTCAAAGTTGAAAACACGTGTTTCGAAACATACTCAACTAAAGCACACAGGCACATTAGTTCCCATTTCCAAGCTGATCGTGTGTAGGCAAGCTGATAAGCTTGTTTAATCACTTACGTTCACTTCTTGACAGCGACACGAGTTTCACTTAAAATTTCAGCCAGCAACATAACTTTCAATTATTCTAGCAATGAAAAGTAACAACCAATGTTCAATGGATGCAAACGCCCTCAAGAAAAACAAAGGGCTCCTTCCCTAACCAATATTGTGTGAATATCAGGTGAAACGCAAGACATTGATCCCATAGATGATTTTCGGTTGTATATGCAAGAATAACAATCATCAGGTGCCCATAATTTCAGTGAAGAAAAGCAGATTTGCCCAAATATCTGAAATTGTAGCTCTATTTTGCTTCTACGCTACATATTTCCAAGCGGTTTTCCAACAAATGTGTTAAAAGGAGTTATGAGATGGTAAAAATTGTATAGACACAAATTGAAAGAAATCACATGAGCACAGGGAAGCGCCGTCGTAATCAATGAGAAATAGTGATGACGAACGTCCGAAGGAGAGGCGGTCCATAGCTGGCGCAGCATTTGTCATGTGGTGGGTCGCATTGCGAAATTAGTGCAATTCGCAAAACAACGCATTAACCCATTTAATACAACGACATCAGATTGTAACTTGTTTTACCTCTACATTTAGATACGATGGGTCATGGGCTGAACGCCCTGATTCAGGAAAATGAGGGCGTTAGAGCGCAGAGAAGCAGAGGGAAGCGGCTTTGAGGGTTCGCAAAAGTGCTGGGGGGAGTTTTTTCAGGCCGTGGGGATATGGTTTCTTACCAAGCCTCAGAAGGGGAGGAGGACCCGAGAGGGTGGGTCAATTGGGTGATCTATTCTCTCCTCTTTCCAACTTTTGCACGAGATAATCATCTCACCCACCCTTGTGCTAGTCCACTTGAGTTCTAGGTAACAAACTGTATTTTCTTGGCTAAGAAATGTCTCTGAGCATCACTATGGGTCAGCAAAGTTACCCTTCCCTAACTACTTTCTGACCGAAGAGGGTAACAGCACAAGGAATAGATCTCACTGGGCGCTAATTTTCAAAAGGCATTTTTCCCTATGGTGGGTATCAAATAAGTGACGGGGAAATTGATATTTCCTGCTTTCCCGTTATTTATTTGACACATATCTTCAAGTATCTCGAAAAGGAAAATGAAAATCAATTCGCAATCATATGACGTCCTCTACGACTCCTTATCTTATCAAGTTTTCAGGAGGGCGACTCTTCTAGAACGGACATGTTCTGAGGACAAGGTAGCAGTAGGCTCTGAGACCGTAATTCTACTGTAAGTGGCGTTACTCCTTTACCTTTAGGGGGATTCATTTACTCACTCACTGTCAATCACTGGGCGCCGCTCTGGCCAGGGTTACTATCATGGGTATTGGGTTTATCTGTACTCTCGGCAAGAGGCCATCGTCACATGATGACCGAGCGCTATCGATTTTTTGCTTGACTATGCGAAATACCACCCGCTGGCCTACCACCTCAACGCGGTGGGTGTGTGAACGTGGGGCGTGTGGGCGTGTCCGCTTTACCACTCTTGTTAAAAAAAAAAAA